GTAAATTACTGAATGACAACCGGAATATCATATTTCTGTAGCGCTTAAAATCTCAACATGGTAGAACAACGAGGCTGTCACTCAATCACTTATCATTAAAATGAACTCCCCATGTCAAGGAAGTTTTGTTCAATTACAAAATACTAGTTTATTTATCATACCTGCATCTAGCATTTTGATGAGGCCATCGTTTTTCTCTACATCAAGGCTCAGCTCATCGATCGTGCCCATATTAAGCAATGTCGTAAATACTTCACAACGCTTGTTTAGCGCTGCCTTAGATTCTTCATTACTGACATCACACTCATCGGGATGGTACTTGGCCTTAAACCTGAAGGGGTGAAGTAAAACAATTTTATTCATGTATGATATCAATTTGGGCGGTCTATTGCCAAAATGTATTGTAGTGGGCAAAAATGCAGTTATTATTGTTTGTTCAATTCAATTTTGATTCAAGTAAATAAAATGTTGAGTTCTGAATGAGTTATTTTGGAATGAGACCAGTATCCTTTAGGCCTAGTGTTTGAATGGGTTTTCGTTCACTTTTTAAGTTTAAAAATAAAAATGTATAATCTACATTCGCAAACTCAATGTTTTTCACAAATAACATAGCCATTTTCACAAATTATCTATAAAGCTGACAGTGTGATCTTTATTTTCATTGTTAAAATAATAGATCTTTATTATTAATTTTCGTACAAAACATAAATTGAGTTGTTACAAATTGAAAAGGCTGAACTTCCATCCTGATAGATTTTGATCAAACTTAAATGTAAGGGTATTATTTGGCCGTATAAATCCATTCACAATTAAATTTAAATCATTTTTAAGAGATATTCTTCACATTTATAGAATGTATCGTTTGCACTCAATTTAATACTTGACATCCTCAACTATTTTTCAGTGAAAAACGCATCTGTAAAATTTTGATGAATTACATTGTCAAAATACCATGAAGCTCTTGTTATTAAATTGTTAATGAATAAATAGCCCTAGCAATCTCACACAGCTGCTTAATTCTAAGATTCACAGGCAGACTGTGGGAGAGCTAGTAGGAATTTAACATCAACACTTGTTTTACATATGTGTCAAAGACTAAAAAATAGCGAGGAATGATCGTTATAATATGATGAATGAAGTTCACTATTATCGGGTGCCTTACCATTGACTGCGCTGCCATCTATCAGTCATCATCAGAACTAATTTTCAGGATCATTTTATTCAATTTCTAATATTGCTTATAGTGCTGGGCTTTCATTAAATATATAACATTTATCCTATTCCTGTTTTGCAGTATGTATAAGTGATATTCTGATATCTCCTTCCCTTTATATCATATCATATCCTTCCTTCTCTTTTATGTTTCATATATTTCAAGATTTTTGTTTTCGAATTTCAGATTTTTTCATTTTGAATCTAAGGATAAAAAGTTTTGAATTAAAATTAAGAAACCAAAACATGAACTGTCTGATTGCAAATAAACACCAGGCAGAACACATCTTAGGTTTCCATAGCATTCATTCAAAAGTTTAAAAACAAAATGAAAGAAATAATAACCTCCCATAGAACCAAACTATCTTTGAAATTAAAGTAATATGTAAACCTTTATTATCTGATCTCCTTTGTATTTGTACAACAACAAATCTTGTCGAACTCATTTTTATGTAATTAATTTCATTCAAGAAGTCATAAAGAGGACTTTGCCTCAACAATGACATTTGTTGACATTGTGCATTTTCTGAAGTAAACAATTTTTATAAATATATCTAAAAATATTAGAAAATGAACAAAGAAGTGAAAAACCTAATAAGTTAGAATTGCCTCAATTTTAGCAGATTTTCATTTGCAAAGCATCATTGTTTTTCACGCGTTGATATATCATCAAGAACAAGAGACAAACAGGGTTCATTTTGTGATGTATCGTACGTTTGCAAAACAAAGTCTGGTGAGTTTAATTTGAAGATAAGATTTTATAATCTAAGATACCTCAAGATTTATTGTTGTACATTCACTTAATTATAGTCATTCAAATACCTTAATCCTCTTATAAATTTAATTTGAATGGACACATTAATAAGATCAACATTTAACACTGTCTGAGAATAGTTGCAAGTTCCGACACCTTAATATTATAATAACAATCCCTTCAACCCAGAATTAAAAGAGAGTATTTATTACACTACATATTTTGACAAGAGTTAATAGTTACCATTCTTCATCCTTATGTGCCAAGAAAAAATCATTAACTTGTTGGCATTTGAAATCCAACTTGTACTCGTTGTATTTTTTGATAGCCTCTTGGTCAGTGATGTGATCGTCCTGTTGTCCCAAAAAGTGTTTAAATGGCATCATTGGTGGCTGGGTTGGGTAGTCTACTTCTAGTCTAAAAACAACGATAATATGTACAATGTTATGACAAGGCATTAACATACACCACCTGCCAATAGAGGCAGAATGCTGAACAATACTCACAAAACAAGGCATTAACATGACAAAATGTCACCACCTAGTTGAAGCAAGATAAAAATACCTTTTTGACCTTGAGGAGGTCATTAAAGGACAAATCGATGTTGACCTTGAGAATGTCATTGAAGGTCAAATCTATAGTCAGATTTGAAATTTTGAGAACTTGTAGATGATTTTAAAAAAAATTGGTCAATTTGAAGCAAGTTGAAAAAAGACCTTGGTGACCTTTTTACCTTGAAAATGTCATTTTGATCTTAAATATAAAGTCAGATTTGAACTTCTGAAAACATGTAGATGATTTTGAAAACAATTGAAGTCAGTCTATTTGTTAAATTATTGGAAGTTGTCAACCGCCGTCTAAAATAAATGGAGACCATAACAATATGCCACCACTTTTTAGTGGTGACATAAAAATTGGAGATTATAACAATATGTCACCACTGCCGAATGCCAAACAGCGTCCATAACAAAAATTGGAGACTATAATAATATATAATATGATCAACCATGTTTATCAGTTAAAAAATAGTAGGCTTTAAAAAAACAAAATGTACATGGTATATATGTTGTTGACAATAAAAGGTATTATAAGGAGCATAGTGACAGACATCATATAAATTCCTGGGACATTCAGATTTACAAAAAATACCTTTGGCCTTGTTGGTAGCCACCACGGTGGTCATTTGCAGCATTGTTGTTCCAGTTGCCATGGTGACCCTGGTTGTAGGCTTCCCTCTGGTGTTGTGGGTTGTAGCCTCCACCATCGCCTTCCCTGCGGTAATAATTTAATACAAATAAACACTTTACTAACAAAAACAAGAATACAAATAAGGACAATTTTCTAGCGACAACAGTGACTGGTCCCTAATTGTTTAAAAAGATGTTACGCAGTATATACAACGAAGGGCTCCAATTATCGAGTGAGGAACCCTTCACTTTAGCAACCAGGATGTTGACACAAAGCAACCAACATGTTTTGAAATTGACCAGATAATGTGGTGGTTGCTGAAGTGAGGGAATTTTCACTGTATAATTGGAACTGCTGGATATATCTGCTCATGACTGACTAGCTTTTTGATAACCGGATGTAATCATTCACAAACAATAAACATAGTGTGATAGTGTTCATTATGAAGCAGTATTGAGCTAGGACACCATACTGCTGATACAATTTGCATAATTCATTTAATATCACTTGCATGGCCATTTTCTACATGATGGGCACTCTACTCTTATCACTCAGTAGTATTTTTAAAGTTCATGAACTTTTTTCAACACTCATTTTGAAAAGAATTTAGGAACCATAAAATGTGTAAAGATCTATAGAGGCAGCATCCTGACATCATGAAACCAAACTATGAATTTTGATAAGTTGATCATGCTTGTAGGATTTAAAAGGAGACATCTCTGAAGGCAAACCTCAATACTGTAGTAGGTACATGTAAGTACATACCAGTTTCTCCTTATTCAAATGAAACATCCTTGTTAGCATACAAAAATATAAATGTACATACCAGTCTCTCCTCATTCTCTTCATTGCTGGTGGACTCATGTCATGTCGCGGTGGTGGGCTGTATCGATCACGTCTACGATCAAAGTTTTCACGACCATAGCCTTCTTGTCTACCCCCTCTCTCTGCCCCTCTATCTGCTGATCTCCCCCAGCCTTCTCGCATCCTACTGAAATACAAATTAACATAATTTCATATTTGTTTGTTTTAAATAATAAAGGCACTGTTTGATTTTAATAACAATGTTGGATTTTAATGTGTAACAAGACAATGAATCAGTGAAAGTAACCTGCAACAAGTGATCAGATTCAGATGACAACCTTACAGAGTATATCAAATAATACCATGCGCGAAGACGTAAATGATCGCTTCCTTCTAAAGCAAAACACATTACTGTGGGACAATTAATTAAGACTGAAAGAAGCCCAATAGCTGGGTTATACTAAAACAATACCTGTCTTCCCAGCCTCCGCGCCTATCATCTCTGCGATCATTATACTCATTTCTTTCACCCCTGAACTTGTCTCGTTTTCTCCTGCGGTCATATTCATCATCACTATCTCCCATTGTTCTCTGTGTTTATTATTACTTCAAATGTAAAAGAATGTAACATTTTATAGTTATTTGACATATATGACCAGCATTGTACCATGTGCCTGGCTGCTGAAATTTACAACTGAAAAAATGCTACAAATTAAATAGGATATTGTTTTAAATTCTAATCTAAAGCAATCTCGAGCTGCAGAAGACAAAAAATATATTCCTAAGTAAACACAACATATCAGTGTACAACATGTGCTGTTTATATTCTCATTAAAGTTTGTTTAGGTATATAAAAACAATAAAATATTGCACCAATTTTACCTTCTTTTTTCCCACTATTCTAAGCGATCCCACAATGCATTCTGATTCGACGGGATCGATCACCTTGTTTACAAGCTCAAAATTTTACTCGCCCCTGCATTATAATTTAATCCATTGTTCTTTATACTACTCATTCTGAAAGTATCATTAATTGACTGTTTGATCAATTTTATAAGAAATATAGGATTTATCTAACGAGAAAGATTGTATTTTTCATGAAAACATTGGACACAGAATGACAGAACAATCTTCAAATTTGGAGGTAAAAAAATTAATGGAAGAAAGGATTTTCGCGAAAATCTTGGAAATTGGCAGTATTTAGCCTTCTCTGGGCTCACATCTTCACAGAATATGCTCGGTAATTTTATATTTTATATCAATTTCCGTCTACTTTAGAAAGTGTTGTTGGTTTTAGTACTTTTTTCTTCAAGTAGTGATGTGCAGTGTTGGTCAGATCATGGGGTCTCTATGGGGGGGGGGGGGGGGGGCTACTTTGCTTCGACCATGGGGTCATTTTGATTCAAAATTCAAATATCCAGTTTGGCCATCTGGGAATAGATCTCGCATATTGGATATTTCAATTTATTTTCTATTTTCAAAAACAAACACGGCGGACTGTGTTGATAAAATTAAAAGCCAATTATTTAAAGACAAAACAACTCTGTGGTCAAAATAGCCCCAAGCCAAGATTAAGTTACCCCATTTAGACCGAGGACCACTAGAACTAGTACGATGACTGCAACTGCAGATTCTTGTTGCTCACTCTCGGAGCTAAGAAAAAATTGAAATATTTATTTGCCAAAGTGCACCAATTGTACTATTTAGGGGATGAAGGGGGGGGGGGGCTTCAACTTTAATATTGATGTTGGATATGAAACTTAATAAATCTTGTCCATGGGTATGATCTCCAGGGTATTGAGGGCTAGCTTAGGTCATAAATGTTTTTGTATGAAATTCTGCGATAAATCAATAATTACAGTTAAATCCTTTCACCATGCATTGTATTGATTCTTTATTTTTTCAGATAACACTTAAAATGAAGCTTCCACTGAAAATCGGTTCCCATCGTAAACTTGAAACATTTATCAAGGGACTGGAAAAATCTATTCTCGATATAAGACAGGACCCATTCAATGGTAACCAAATTGAAATTGATGCAATAATATGTTTCACTGATGTTCACGAAGGAACTGAGCATGTAGTTAAGTCGTACAACCTGATTGAGGAATCAGATGCAGAACAAGAGTATGAGAGAAGAAAGCAGAGATTGGGTCATATTATCAATTACGCCATTGAACAGCAGAACACAACATTGTTATGTAACAGAAAGAACCGAACGACAAGAAAGAATAGATCGCAGAAAAATAACACTGAGATTACTTCTCAGAGTACTTCAATTGGTGAGGGTGGTAATACTTATTTTCTAATGTTATTCCAACAGGGAGGGCCAAAAAATTATAGATTCATTTGATTAATCAAATCATACTCTAGACATGTACAGCAATTGCATATTTGGATGAACCAACATTGGAAAAAAGTTTCAGATTTGACATACATGTTGTATTATCCATAAATATTGTGATACTGGTGGTCTGTCACAACAAAATTTATGTCAACTGTACCAAAATCTTACAACAACACAAAACATGTATTAGCATTTATTTACTCTCATAAAAACTAAGATGCCAAATTGTAATAAAGTACCTCAAAACATGTTATAAATTTTTGCTTAACATGTATTTACTGAGGAGGAAAAATGTTTGTATTTAACCATACAGTGTTTTTACTTTGATATTACAGATGGGGTAAAACAGCTGAATGATGATATTGAGAGTAATCCCACTGACAATAACCCAAACATTGGTAGTGACATAAAGGATGATATCATTGATGATGATGATGATAATGTTGGTGATGACCTCCTCTATGGTGATGATGACAAGGATGAGGATTATAAACCAGATAATGTCAGTATCAAAGATAGTGATGACAGTTCTGATGATGATGAAGACTCGGAAACATTACTTATATGTTCGCAATGCAACAAAGAATACACATCTGAGACTGACTTAAAAGCACATACTGAACTCCATAGAGACAACAAACATAAGTTGAACTTATGTCATATTTGTCCGAGACAGTACAAAAAACTGAAAACCTTACTGAATCATGTATTGGTGCACCACAATGACTCTAATGTAGATGACACAGAGACTGAAAATCAGGAAAGCGAGACAACGACAACTTGTATGTTTTGTTATGATACAATCCCCAAGAGGAATCTCAATGCTCACATATTTACAGAACATAAGAAAAAAGGGAAAACACCAAAACAATCGTGCCTTAGTAATGTAAATCATGATAAACAATCGACGAATAAATCTGCTTTAAGAAAACGTGTAGATACGCAACATGAACATGGTGAAACAATTCGTGAAAAACTTAAATGCAACGATTGCGAAAAAGTTTTTGGAACTAAGAAAGGATTACTTAGACATATGACAAAAAGACACAAAGAGCTTAGACTACAGTGCCACCTTTGTGAAGGTATATTTACTTCAAAGTCTAGACTTTGTGATCACATTATTCAAAATCATGATACCTACAAAGTCATCAAATCTGAAGAAAATACAAATGGAGAAAATACATCTAATAATGAATTAACATGTGCATTTTGTGAAGTGGCTATCATTGGCCTAGATTCCTTGCATGAGCATATAAAACTTGAACATTTAAGAGAAGCAATGAATGATGCTGAAGAATTATTTTGTACAAAATGTGACAAAACTTTTGAATCTGCTCATGGACTAAATAGACACAAAAAATTAAAACACACGAAGCCATCATTCAAATGTCATTTGTGTGAAAGTTTACTAAAGACAAAATACAGTCTACGTAAGCATATTACACTTGGTCATGATCTGGAGAAAGACATTGATTTCGAAAACGAGGAAGTGAAGGCGAGCACTCAGGAGGCATCCATGAAATGTCCATTTTGTAAACTTGGTTTAATTACCCTAAAGGAGTTACACGGACACATCAAACAGAACCACATTCTGGGAAAGAAATCAAAATTAGGCCCTGGTCGGAAGAAAAACGACAAGACTGGCAAATCAAAATTGAATATACACACTTGTGAAAAATGTTCAAACGTTTTCCATACAGCAAGTGGCTATAGCAAACATAGAAAAACAGTATGCTCCGGAAAATACCTCGTTTGTCCACATTGTGATAAACAGTTTCTTTGGGAGTATCGATTACGTGAACATATCATATTTATGCACAACAATAAAGAAAACGGTCCGATTGAGAAACATCATGGCGTGACATTCCCAGAAGGGCCGCCTTATCAATGCTGTCATTGCGAAGAAAAGTTTGAGAAAAAGACCCACTGGTTGAAGCACCGTAGCGTCCATATTGATCACCCGTTCATATGTGAGTACTGCTCCAAACAATATAGATCCCAGGGCCAGTTGAAGACACACATACGCTCTCAGCATAATGGTGAACCTGCCGTTCAATTAGAGCTCCAGAAACCCCAAGGAGAGTCACAAGGTCCTCCATATACATGTAAAGAATGTGGAAAAATGTATGAGACTGAAAATGGTCTTATGAAACATTTCAAACTACACACTGGTGATTTATATACATGCGACTACTGTGGAAAACAATATGTACAGCGTCAGACCTTAATGGACCATATAAGGACGAGACATACGCACAACACGAGGGCAATGCCGGAGAATTATCTTACTGGACCACCATATAAATGCCCTGACTGCCCAAAGATTTTTAAACTAATGGGGCAGTTTAGAACACATCATAGATGGCACTCCGGCAAGCTCTTCTCATGTGACAAGTGTGGTGAGTATTATTCATACTTGCTAGTTTTTCAGCAATTTTTGACAGAGCATGGTGATACAAAAAAAGAGCCCAGTTTACTATTTTCTTTAATTAATCTATTCAATCAACTTTATTTTTCAGTACAGAAAGTACAATTTACAATTACGGATGACAGCATTGTAACTTGTTAAAAAGGCCTACTGTGAAAAATTAAGATGACTTTCAATTTTATGTGTTGGCTAATGAGATATCTATGGTTTTTGCCATTTCAAATATATTGGTTTCTTCTTTCTTAAAGTTTTAAGAATAAAGGTTGATATTGTAAAAAAGCAACTTGTCCTAACATCCCAAAGTATTGATTGCATATTTTTGGAATCATCCAATGGACTTCACGTAGTACTTCAAGTCTTGAAATTTCATCTTTCAGATAAGTGCTCTGCCTTCATATTTTTGATGAACCAAATGATTATCATACATGATGTTTGCTTTTCCAGACAAGAAGTTTGCCAGTCTGTCAAGACTTACACGTCATGTAGAGTCCAGCCATCAAGGCAAACGCTACCAGTGTCACACATGCGATAGAGTTTACATGTCCAAGTGAGTATTTTATATCGTTAACCATTGATGATTTTATTTCGTTTTATAGTCAGGGTAAGCCACAATAGTTGAAAACAAGAATGCCACAATTAAACAAATGGCCATTTAGTCCATTGCTCAATGCAGTCAAACAGCTCATGAGCTGTGAGTTTCAAACACTGATTTTAGCCATGACATAATAAAGGTCAGTGAGTTAAGTAAATTGGTTCAGAATGCAGTTATTGCATCTTCTTTATGAACAGTGTACTGAACTACTGACATCTTGCCAATTAATCTTCACAAATCCTTGACTTTGCCTGCCATCTTTTAAATTATTAATTCATTTATTATACAAAACATATAATATCTAATTGCATTTACTATGTTGCCAGAACATCATGCCACTACATTTTCTTCCCATAAGAAGCTAGAGCATTTAATATTTCAAATTTAAACTCTCATAATTCATGTAATTGGTTACAGGAAGCTGCAGTATTCAAAGAGTAGTAATCACAAGCTGGGGATCCAGGTTTAAAGTGTCTGTGTTTGTGATAATTAGTTATAATTACCATTAGCATTAAATTGTATATTAAATATGGTATAATCCTTGCAGGGGTAAGTGCCACCAGCACATGCGGAACAAGGGCCACCTGAAAGGAGGGGAGAAACAGGATGTTAAGAAAAATTTGTCAAAAATAATCGAACCTCAAGAGCCAGAACACCCAGTCCCTGCACCCATGGAGACCTCAGAGCCACATTTACTTCAACCCATGTTACAACCAATACTCAATGCTCCAATAATCAACCAGAATATCCACACAGGGCAGTTAGAACAACAATTAAATACACCCCTCCTTCATAACTTCTCAAATCAGGGATTAGAGCATCAACATATACCGGAGCAAAGAAATCTTGCAGTACCTAACAGTGCCTTTAACCACCTGGTGTACTCAAATCAACCAAATCAATCTGGTTTTATAACAAACTTCCATCGAATGCCAAATTTTTCGAACCCAGGAGGGAGCTACCAGCAGGCTCTTCAATCTACTATCAGCACTCCCCCTGAAGAAAACAAAGAAACCGATTCCGCCCAGAATCTTGTTATTCCTTCTAAAATGCAAACTCAGGTGTACCAGCATTGGACTACATATTAATTACAGTAAAACCTGTATATAAAAACACCTCTCAGTTTGAACATTTTTTCTTGGTCCAATTTTTTTATATATCTCATGAAAGAAACTTTGAAATGTGGAACCTGTTAATCTCAACACTTTTAGTCTGACTGACACTAGCAGTATAGTTTGGATTACACAGGTTTTACTGTACATGTTTACTGTGCATTGTTTGAAATGATATTAGACATGATAAAGAGACAAAATGGCGGACACGTGGCTGTTTTGAGCTAAAAATGTTATTGTTTCTTTTATGAAAACCATGGGTTGGATATTTACCTGGTATGCCGATTTGACTAGATCGGCATACCTGGCTTAACCGCTATCTAAATCATGTCAGTAAGATCTTAGACTTGGCATATAATGCATGAAAACTCTTGCCACTTATAGTTATTTTCCAATTAGATCTAGCAGTAGTACTATAGTATGCATGAGAAAGTATGAAATAATTGTATACATAGTATAACTACTTTAGCATTGAGGGGAGGGCTAAATTGTTCAGCTTGTTAAAATAGTTTGTTATGTATGATACATAAAAACTCCATTAGTCATTGGTAGTTTTCTACCCTGCGCGCAATCTAGTTATAAACTACCCTCTGCCTAGTATAGACTATATTACGGTTTAGCAGCCCCGCCCTAAAGATTGGTGCCTGTGACAGCCCAGGTAATAAATCATTTCAAATCTACCAAGCTGACCCTTTCTCAACCAATCAGCAAAGTGGAAAGAACACATGCTAAATACATGCTCATTAACTATGCGGTGATGTCGGAGGAAATGACCATATAGAAAGTCGTCCGTATTTCGACGACAAACTCTGATTGGCTCGGTGAGATCAGAGATTTATTGTAAACTGAAAGAGTGAAGACGAAGCTCTCTTTTAAGAAGTGAAGTCGAACGAATGCAAAGGGTAGTTTTCATGATTTCCATGATTTTCTTATTTTCTTATATCCATTTTGAGAGATGTATAAACTGAGTCAAAACCCAGAGTGCTACTTTAAATTACATTTTAATATGAAATATGATGGCTCATAGAAATTTTATGTAACCTAACCACATGACCTATATGTGGTGTAGTGACATATTGTTTTAAAAGTTGTTATAGTCTTCATTTCTCAGACTGACATTCAACTTTGGCGGTTGGTTTCTGTTACAAATTGAGACACTTTTGTTACCATGGTAACATTTTGTCAGGTTAAAGACTTACTAGTATTTGGAATTTGTTCTTATCTCAACCCATGGAGGGGCACAACCCAGATATTAGCAGGGCAGAATACTAGGACTATCACAAAAAAATGTAGGTACTGTAGATTGGGTTAATTTGGCGCCCGCTTTAATTTGGCGAATTTGGCGAAATTGAAAAATTCGCCAATATAAATCTTCGCCAAAATTTAGAATGAATCACCGGGAATAATCTAGGGTATTTCGTCCAGTGTATTTCGGTCACTTTCGGTTTAGGTTTTTCCATAAGAAAAATGTCTCTTATAAATTGGCTCAGAACTGGTCAGTCACTCATTAATACTCAGGGAAAAACTAGAACGGAAAAGCACAGTATAGTAGCAGCATCGATCAAGGAGCAAAATGTAAAGGATGATCTCACAAAAATGTACAAACGTGGTGAATATCGCCAGTGGTCCTCAAAAGAAAAATGAACATAGCCAAACATACCCATTTACATGGTAATTCGCATAAGTAAGTTTAACATTGCATTAACATTTTTTTCATATATCCGCCAAATTAAATAGCCGCCAATATGACAAAAATGACAAAATCGCCAAATTAAGTAGCGCCAAATTAACCCAATCTACAGTAATTGAACTTTATTTTACAAATTTTAGAAATGGTGCTTGTGTTGTGAAGATTATGACTTTGTATACTTTTTTGATGTGGACACAACACAGAATTAGCTTACTTTGGCCTAATCAATTATAACTCCATCTCAATGTGTACATCAATAAGGCCAAGGTAATAAAATCAAGTGATATCTAGATTAATAGACCATTATACTTTTATTTATATGATTTTTCCATTAAACCTATGTACTGGAATCTAATTCCTTGTTTCATATTTTAAAATAGAAATGTTAATTGTGGCATACTTTTGTTAGATACTGTAAAATGATCTTGTGTCTGATTTAATTTGGTGATTTACCACTTTATTCAAATCAACTCTCAAAAACCAGTTCACATTAGGTTTTAATGAATTTTCACTAAAACACCTCAAGACCTGCCATAATGGTTAATCAGGTTTGAATGCATATTTCATCTTGTTGTCTAACTCTCCTCTTTATATGCAAATTGTATTTTACTAACTGAACTTAAAACATGTAGTTAATGACAAAAGATCTGTTAATATTTATTTAGTATTTTTTATTAAACCCTTATAACAGCAATATATCATATATCCATGACATACATGAAATAAACAGAGTTCTCTGCATTCATTTGTTTTATACAATATCATGCTTTTTATGTCTTCCCCACAAGTGGTGACATGTTTTCATGTAATATTACATGTATTTATAGATTTCCAAAAGTAGAAGTAAGAAAATACAAATAAAAGTGGATTACACCCTATTGGGCATATTGTTTATGACATATTGTTATAGTCTCCAACCTTTTTGTGAATGATGTTCAGTGGTTGATGTTCGACAGTAGGTGTTTGGTATTCAGGTTGGTGTTAAGCATCTGTAACAAATGGCAGGTGGAAACATTTTGCATATGTTAATGTCTTGTTTCTCTTGTTAACCATTATTTCCAATCTTGAAGAGTACAATTGGATTTCAATAAAAAAAATGATTACAAGATACATTTGAATGTTTGGCGTTGCCAAGATCTTAAAATAAGAGAGGCCAAAGTTGACAGAATAAGGCCAATGGAATAAAATTGCACCAATGGACATAAATTCTACACTTTCTGTATTACTTTGCAGTTTCTTCAATTTCCGTGGTGTTAATTTGAAAGAAATGACTTGCATGTACATTGAAATTGTTTTTCTCTTATAAATTTCCAACTTTGTTTTTCAACTACTGTCAACATGATTCTTAGAAGTACATGTAGGTATTAGATTTAGTTTTGCCTCAGGTTGAACAGTGTATCTCATCAATACCTGAATGTGTAAATATCACGAACAGTCACGCTGTAACCTTTCATTTATGTTCAATTTATTAATACAACTCTAAAAATATAAATTTATTTGTGGTAAACATATTAATAAAACGTCATAAATGAAACCATTAACAACCACCATGATAGAGGATATACAACATAAACAGCATGAATATGACATTTTATAGAAAATAATTGATGTATACAAAATGCTGAATAAATACTTAAAAATTGTTATTCTAACACAAGTCTTAATTTGTTTGACTGCAATTAGCTCAAGACAATAATGTTAGTGTGATGAAAGTAGAATCATTTAGCATGAAGTGTTTTTTTTATATTAAAAGGACTGGTCTGAGCTTGGAAAATGGAAGTTCACCAGTCTACTTCATGTTACGCCTGCTTTTGACAGTTTTGATATTTTATTTGGGTGTTATTTCTATATTTTTCATAAAAAATTATAAGTGCAGTAGACTGATGAACTTCATTCTCAAAACTGAGACTTGTCTTTCATTAAACTGGTCTACTGCACATTACGCTTGCATCTGACAATTTTGATATTTTTACATATCTTAGATTTAAAAGTCCATCCTCTTTTGAATATTCATAATTTAATTTGGGTGTTATTTCTATATTTTTCACAAAAAATGATAAGCCCATGAGACTGTTCTTCAAACTGAGACTTGTATTTTCATTACTGAACAGGTGAGGAGTGGTTGCCATCCAATGTAGTAGTGGTACCTTCAATGCAGTTAAACTTCAAAGCAAAAACCCAGATCTAAATACAAGTAATTCATTCATATTGTTTGTTCAATAATCCACTTACTTTAATGAAACCACACATACGTAGTTCACATCACTGTCCTGCAATATACTGGGATAAATATTTCATCTTATTAATCTGATGAAAACAAAATCCCAGGAGAAACTATTTTGTAGTGAGATGTCTCCAGCAAGTTCAACCAATGTTTCACCCAAGTTCCATTTGTAAGGGATTCAATCCGGGATGTTCCATGGATTTATTCAATAGTAGAGCATTGTTCGTAACATCCTTGGTGTTAGTGGAATCTACAGGTCGCCTGTAAGGAATTCCTTCCCTTGTCTGGTGGTTTTGTTTCTGCATGTGAAGTTTACATTTCGCTCTGGAACAACAATTGCATTTTTGTTGCATTTATTTTTTATTCATAATCATAATTAGATTTTTGGTCAAATTCTAAAGTAACTTGGTTTTAAAATGAGCACAGCTGAAACCAGCTTTGTGTACCCATTAAGGTAGATATGATAACAGTTTTTATGCCATTTTTAATTCCTTAATCCCTAGAATTTTGTATTTATTGGGTTGTTTTGGTTTATATCTTTTATATATATACACAATTTGACAAATTAGTGGCATACACAAAACCTAAAATCAGCTTTTATATTATTCACAATTGTTGATTATCAATGATTCCCAGCCCTCTGAAGTTTGAAAAATGAAAATACCTGGGTGTTAATCCATAGATAATCCTATAATTATATGGTGCAATCTAGTATAGTCAATAAAATGTTTTAAAGTGTATCGTGAAATTCATGAAAAAACTCCCCCAATTCATTCTACAAACAACTTCCCCTCCTTTGTGTGACATTTTCCCAAAACCTTTTGTGAATGTAATTTAACAGATTAACGTAACAATGAGTCAATAGAATAAACAAGTGTTCCCATGCAAGGAATTAACATACACATGCTTTAATGAACTTCAGATGAGGCATATACCACCCAGTTTAAACTTTGATCTTTAATTTGAATTTTTGACCGACCGGATGTTTGAAAATCAAGGATTGCGTCCTCATACTGCACCATTTTCTTCAAACTTGTTCCATTCAAAGCAAAGCAATTGACTTTCTGTCTGTGCATTGTTTTATTGTAAAGAGTCCCTCATTTAAGCAGGTTTTTGGTCCCCAGCGGTTAGAAGCACTTCTCACAGCTGGGGACCAAAATGCCCCTGGAAGTAGGGACTCTGTATAACAGGATAATGTACCAGCAGAAAGGCATATTTGTTATGATTTGAATGGATTCAGAACAAGTTTGAAGAAAATGGTGCAGTATGAGACTCGTAATCCTTGAATTTCAAACATCTGGTAAGTCAAAAATTCAAATTAACGGTCGAAGTTAGTACCGCATGATATACAGAGTATGGGTATGTAGTAAATAAAAACATAAAACTGATTAATGTTTAACTTCCCTGCTACTTTATTAAGTTAAACATTTATCAGTTTTATGTTTTTATTTACTACATACCCATACTCTGTATAATAATATATTTGCAATGGTAATCAAAAAACAAACCAATGCGTTTGTGCAGACTTCTTCACTAACCTGGTCATAAAGGTTCTGGAACATCCAAAGCAGTGGTAGCGTTCTCCCCGATGTGTCACAGCAATATGTTCGTCCAGTACAGATTTTCTCCAGAACCCCCTATCTGAAAACAGTCATGTGTTCCTTGGGTTTAGAGTGTGTTATAATCAGACCTGACCAAAACTGAATTGCAGATTTGCTTCTCAATCTCAGTTCTAGGTTTTTATACCATGACCTTCCTTGGTGAAATTTTTAAACAAATCTATTTGGTGATGTAAATTAAGATTTTTTTCTCTCATTAAACCAGTTGTCATCTTTTGAATGGTAATAAATTAGAATATAATTGAAACATTTTTTTATATCTTTTTAGAAGAACTATACTGAATTTACCAAAACTTACAAAAAGTGCAAAATATAGAAGCAAGCAAAAAAGACTGGGAGTACAGTGCAGTGTTTTAAGATCCAACCTATATATCATTGCGTGTGTTAGTGTTAATCTGATTCAATAAAAATTATATCTTACCACAGATTGAACACCGGATCATATTATCTTGGGAATGCATGGTGAAGTGGAATCTAAACCTTGCCATTGAACTGCACATTTTATCACAGCCCTCATAAGAACATCTATATGGCGGTGCACTGCCGTAGTTCAATGGTAGCGGCTTAGAGTTCGGCATATGCTTGGCCTCGATATGTTTTTTCAGACTGTATTTCGTTGGAAATTGTTTCGGACATTTATCACATATAAACATCCCAGTGTGATGTGGCTCATGTTTCCTCAAGCCACTTGACGATTGGAATGTTTTATCACAGGTTTTGCATTTGTAGAGTCGGGATATTCTTCCTTCGATACACATCTCATTTTCTGGATCCATATCATGAGCGATAATAAGATGTTGTTTTAGTCTTCCGGGGGATGTGAAGGCTTTGCTGCATACTTCACATATATATTCTTTTGCTAAGTGTTTGTCCCTATGATGCAGTCTCCATTGAAGAAGGTTAGGGGACACTGTGTCACATTCAGTGCATTTGTATGGGGGACCTGCTGGAGGTTGAATTTTGTTTCTTTCGGGTGGTTTTATTTTATGACCCCGCCTCAAATGAACTTTCAGCCGGGAGCTTTCCGCAAAGGTTTTTGGACAAAGATTACATTTTGTTCTGGCCAAGATGTTTGCCTGGGAGCACTTATGTTGTCGTAAACTTGTAAAATCTTGAAACTCTTTGCCACACTGTAGAACACTACATGTATAAGTCCTAGTATTTATTTGGAGTTCATCACCGCTACTGTCACTTTGTGGAGGGATTTCAGCATCAGAATGTGTTGCCTTAATGTGCAATTTCAGCTGACATTTGGACGGAAATTTTTCAGCAGAGCACAAAAAACATTCTAATTTTTGAAATGGGGATTTTCCATTTAAATGCCTTTTTAATGCATTTTCATTATCAAATTGTTTGTTACAAAGTTTACAGGCTCTTTGTTGATTCTGAGTTTGTGTGGGGACATGTTCCATCTCTATATGGTAACTTAAGCGACATTTGGACTTGACTTTCTCGGGGCAAAACTTACATTGAAGTGATCGAAAGGGTGGTCTCCCATCTAAATGCCTCGTTAATGCACGACCCGAGCTAAACCCTTTGCCACAAAGTTCACAAGAATTTTTGCCACTTTCTTGATTTGAAATGGGCAATGGATGACTCGGATGAATGTCAACCATGTGTTCAGTCAATAGGGAGTTTGATGCAAATCGTTTAGGGCATGAAGGGCATATAATCTTATATTCATATGTTATTTCAAATTCAGAACTTTGCTGATGATCATCTTTCAAATGCACAATCAAAAGGCACTTTGATCTGAATTTTTCTGAACATTCTGGACATTTGAATTCATGATAAGGGGGTCGCCCATTTAGATGTCTATTCAAGCAACTAGAACTGGAAAATTCTTTTTTACAATTACTACAAGCCTTAGTAGATTTCTCTCTGTCCAATGTTTGTTTAGTACTTTCTTCTTCAGCACTTCCTGGGTGCTCTTTCTCTATATGAGCATTCAGAACACATTTTGATTTAAATTTTCCAGGACATTTAAGGCAGTTGAAATCTGGATATGGAGGTCTTCCGTGAAGATGTCTTCGCAAGCCACTGTGAGTGTAAAATTCCAAGTTACAATTTACACAAGATTTCTTCTTAGCTTCTTTAGAGTTCAAATGTTGACCTTTAACTTTTTTAGACCCTGGATGAGCATCATTAACATGGCGATTCAGGTGACTTGGGGATGGGAAACACTCCTTACAATTTGGACATTTGAGTTTTGGAATAGGTGAACTGCGCTTCAAATGTCGACCCAATTCTTTTACTGTTGTAAAGGAATTCTTAACAGATTTACATGCTCGATTCTTTTTACATTTACCAGTTTCTGTAGTGGTATTTCTGTCAATGTCAATATGTTCAACTTCATCAGTGACGACAGCGAGTGCTAAATCTGCGTGTCCATCAATGTGGGCTGAATCGCTAGTGGTATGAGTGACTTTAATGTGGTCATTCAATTCCTTCATAGTGCCAAACCTGGCTGGGCATTCCTGACACTTTCCTGTATTGTGATGCTCAATATCTATAATATCCTCTTTTGTTTCAACATCCGCCTCCAATGCATATATGTTTTTTTCTACTGGTTGCATTGATTGTTCCTGATTCTCTCCCTCCATATGGATCTTCATATGTGTGTTAAAATCTTTCTTAGTTTCAAATATTTTGTAACAAACTGAGCAACTTATTTGCGATGCTTCAATTTTTTTCTTTTCTTTTTGTATTTCAGGTTCATCAATCTGTAAATACTGATTCAAAGAGAATGAAGAAGTTTGCTTTTCATTTTTATCGCTCGGCTCCTTCTGTTGGTTCCTCATGATATTTTCAGTATGATGATCATTAATGGTTTCCATTTCGAATCTTATTTCATTATCATTTGATGGTGTATTAATTGCTGTGTTGTGACCTAGGCCATCATCACCATGTGCATCTTCTTCATCTTCATTGTCCTCAAGTGAGAGTCTGATATCATAATTGTCTGAAATAATAATATTGATCAATTCATGAATGCAAAAATTGAGGAGAAATAATCATTTATCAAAATTGTGAAATGAACTTATCACAATTTATATATATATTTATGTAATAAGAAACAAGGCATTAACATACAAAATGTCACCACCTGCTATTTTTAACAGAAGCCAAACAACAAGCTCTAAACATCAACCACCTGACACCGTCACAAAAAAAGTTGGAGACAATAACAATTTGTCTTTAATTAAGTGGTAATGACATAATCACTTTCTCTTTGCTGAGATTAGTTCTTGTATTCAACTTCTGAAGTTCCTCTAAAGTACAGTAAGTTATAATTTACAATGGTTGATTTTTGATACATAATTGATAAAGACCCATTTCTTGGTAAATGTAGGTCATCTAGATGCTCTCTTCACATTAGTGTATCTACTGTAGTCACTGATTTTATATTTTGGACATTTCGCTGCCATTTGCATACGTACTAATTAATAATTTTCTCAAATTAGAAGTTCTTCAAAATCTATCCAGCAACTATTATTGAAAATTGGTATTCTAACTGCAGTTTTAACTTCAAAGAATTTGTTATGCTTTTAATTTTTCTATTCATGAAAGCAATATTGAATATTGATGAATTTAATCTCAACATTTTGATTAAAATACTATCACTCTTATCTCTAGAAACACATACTTCCCAACAATCAAGAAAAAGATTACTTACATCTTGAAGATTCATAGTTCTGTGATTCACATTCCAACAGTTCCGGTATCTGTTCCCCACCTTCTGCCAATTCTGGACTGTTATCAATTGCTATTGCCGGGGATACAACCGGATGACTGCTGGCTAATAGACTGTCCGATTCAACAATTTCTTCTCTTGAAGATCCATCTGTTTGAACGATTTTCTTCAGTCTTTCATCGCGGAATTGTACTAACTGTCGGATGGAATCCCAGCTGTCTTTGTTCAAACCAGATGGGGAGACATGGTATGACTGTGTTTTATCAAGTACTTTACTAGACAACATGAACATAGTGTTAAACTCAATGTCTGCAACAGAACTGAAAGTCATTTTCCAAGACTTCAGCATATGTTTTTCCAACTCCTGTATGTGCTGCTTGATCTTAATTTCCCCCATCTTTGTAGGTCTGTAGCTGCTATAATTGTTTATTTGGTTAGTCAAGCTTCAAATTCCTTTTTGGCTTCTTCAACTCTGAAAATATACAAAATTCAAATACATGTACAAGTAGAATGAAGACCTTTGTATATAATTAGGGCCAATGGGGTAATTTAACATGATGTAAAGGCCTTCATTTGGTACCCATCATCCATCATTCTGCTCTGGTACCCAACTACCCATCATGGGCTCAATTTTAAATTGAGAATATTAAAATAACTGTACAAGTACCCCAACTATTGCTTATGAATAAAGGTATGTCTAAAGAACCATTACACCTGAAATTGCTTAGAATGCACCAAACGATGTTCAATTTTCGAAATTTTCAATGAGGAGAACCCCCAGTCCCCCCTATTCTGGCCCTTTGTTCGCTACACTCACTCGTCATGGCTAGCTTCCAACAGCCTTTACCAAGTGTCCCCCCCCCTCGAAACACAAAATCATGATCCGCGGCTGGTGCAAATGGGTAGTATCAATATTAATCTGGAGTTTTGCTATCACTAAATGTCAAAAATAAGAAAAAGGCAAAACACCCCCAATCCATCCTATAGGGAGTTGAATCAAGTCAAGTGTTTTGTCAGTCAGTCTTCACTCTTGGTATAGATTACTTCTGCCCAATTTAGAATACGAAAAATTTCGAACGGAATGCGTGACATATACGTAATTCGCGTGAAAAGACCGAACTAAATGCGTACATTTTTTTCCGGCGTTCGTATTTTTGCTGTGTAGACGATCTTTTTTGGAAATTTTTCTACAGAAACATTTTTGCTTGACAATTACCAGGTAAAATGCGTATTTGCGTGACATTTTCTGTCACGCAAAAATAACTGGCGTGACTTCAAATTCTTCAGCAAATGCGTGACAAATACGCAAATTGCGGGACACTTGACAGGCCTGAATATAGTCCAATTATTGTAATTATGTTAGCATCACCAGTGGTTGGATTTTGGTTACAAAGTACATGATGAATGAAAAAGTGGATGTATGGACCAACTCTAACACATGATTTGATGTGATTGAGGTGCATTTTCTTTTAAAAATTTGACCTTTTTGACCTGCCTCCATCTGTCAAAATCAGAGTGACAATTCTTGACATTTTCTATAGATGGCGTATTCAACAGGTGAGATCTGATTTTCGTGGGGAATTTTGGTTCAAACTTTTTTGACTGACAGAGGACACAAAAACATGTCCACAAATCTTAGTTTTCTTTGAGAGACAAATCATTTAGATGGGAATACGTTACTATATTTGCACATAGCCATCTTTTGGATATATGGCTATGCAAAACTCGATATTCCCAGTCCTTCATAAAGGTCTTTTCGAAATATGTAAGAAATCTCGGAAACATTTACCACTTCAATCGATGCATAACATTCTAAAATAAAGTTTTTCTATAACCATATTGGGCTATCCGGAGTTGGAAGACAGCGTAATTGACAAAAAATTTTGAAGAGTCGATAACTTCCAAGATGGCTTCTCAGGAAGTTTGGTAATGCGCATGTGCCTCCATGCCATGAGATTACCGCTTCCGGTTTCACGCATGCGCATTGGCAAGACTTCCTGGTCAGGACTTATCCCGTTCCCGGACTATAGTCCTGCACTGAGCGCACTCATTTGCCTGTACGATTACAACTTGGGAGAATTATCTACGCCCCTTACACTTAAGATACCTACCTCAATGCATTATAGAACTCAAGATGTAACTTCTAATATATTGGAACCGCCGATTGTCTGGGTATATCGGCAGAACGGGAACATTTTCTCTTTTTCATCGAGAGAGATTCCATCACTTTTCAAAATGGCTTTTGGATTTAAAAGGGGAATCCCCCGTTTGGCTGTCCCGGATGTAGCCCGGAAGTACCAATATGGAGGAATTTGACGGTTGAAATAAGTTAAATGTCACACGCAAATATTGCGATCAAAAACGAAAATGTCTTCGTTCTGCCGATAAACCCAGACAATTGTGGATTCAACTACACAAAAAGAATGCTAAATTACCAAGGAATCTATTGAAGTAGGTATCTGAAGTGTAAGATGAGTAAAAAATTCTCCCATGTTGTAATCGCACAGGCAAAAGATTGAGATGTTCACAGGACCATAGTCCGGGAACGGGATAAGTCAGGACGACATGGAAATAACAAGTTCCAAATACATTTTTCGTCGATTACACTGTCTCCCGACTCCAGCTAGCGTTCTGAGAATATTAAACCAATATTTTATGATGTTATACATCGATAGAAGTAGTGTAAGTGTTCCAACGATTTCTTACGATTTCTGTAAAAGACCTTTACATGGACTTGGTATCTCAAGATATGCAAAGCTATCTCCCAAGAGATAGCTTTGTGCAAACTAAGTAAGGAATGCGTATGTTAAAATCATTTGGTTGTGTGAGGCCTAAACGATTTGATACAACTTCCTGTGACAAGTTGATATCCAAAAGCAGGCCCGTAGCCAGGGGGGGGGGTTCAATGGGTTTGAGCGAACCCCCCTGGACCAAAAATTATTTCAAAATCATGCAGTTTTACATCATTCTGAGTAAGAGGGGGAGAAACCCCAGGGGTAGGTACGGAAAATTTCGAACGAAATGCGTGAAATATACGTAATTCGCGTGAAAAGTCCGAACGAAATGCGTACGATTTTTTTCGGCGTTCGTATTTTTGCTGTGTAGACGATCTTTTTTAGAAATTTTCTACAGAAATATTTTTGCTTGACAAGTACCAGGTAAAATGCGTATTTGCGTGACATTTTCTGTCACGCAAAAATAACTGGCGTGACTTCAAATTCTTCAGCAAATGCGTGACAAATACGCAAATTGCGGGACAGTTGACAGGCCTGAAATCGTATGTCATCGATTGAATCATGGGGTTTTTCCTCCTCTTATTCTGAGTGATTTCGCCATTTTTAGACCAAAATTGTCAAAAGTGAACCCCCCTGGAATTTTTCAAAAAGTGAACTCCCCTTGGCAAATCCTGGCTACGGGCCTGAAAAGCGTCACCCGAAAATAACAATAACAATAAAAAATATTTCAATGTGTCAAATGACTAAAGATTTAGTTAAAAATGCACTTACTTCATAGTTAAAATCGTTTTTTCGACACGGAAATTTCATTTCGTTTTTCAAGTATTTTGTACCTCCAGATTTGAAGAGTTAAACCGGAAGTGTTGAAAATCTAAAAAGTGCTTCTGCTCTTCTCAGATGACTTCACATTATTCTACAGTACACGGATAACGACTTGAAAAATATAGTGATAGGATTTGCATACAAAAGATCAACTTTACCTTGGTATGTATAATAACAATCAGATCAGTCTATGAAACAAGAAATCTAGTGAGTCTAGATCTTCACTTTCCTTTTTGTATGAATTTCAGGAATCAGGTTGTTGTCAATCATCCAATTTCCAAATCACATTCCTTCGAAACCTAATAATATTTTCCTCCTAGGCACCACAGTGAATATCATCTCGAAACAAAGACTTCGCAAAACATATTCGCTCAACATACATGTATAAGACCTGCATTCAAATCCGTTGACAGCCCATGATTAGACCTAGTCCAACAACATTAGACCTAGCCTGGGCCTCGTTTCTTATCTGACATGTCTTATGGCCCCGGCTAGGTCTAACTTCCATGATGATTTTGCCCTTGTTGCGATCATTTAATCGTTCAGCAGGTTTCGACATGCGGAACTAATTAAACTCCGAAAACATGGTAATATTACATAAAGAATGTGATTCAAGCATGCATACATACCTTATAAATACATACACACCATCCCGTACCCCCCTTAGACCATATTGATGCATAATTACGAAAATATTGGAGACAGGTTTGGAATTTTACGAAAATATCGGTCAGCTCCGGTAACATCGAAATTGCAAATCGTATCAGGAATTAACCGTCATTGCGACACTGCATCAACGAACAGTAGGTTTGCAATTAATAACGATTTTGTGTGTATACAAGCGCTATATAAATCAATCAAAGATACCTGCTATCCTCAAAAATGGCTATTTTATCCCGAGTAATCGCGTGATAATTATCAATCTATTTGACAACAATTTCGTTTCAATAGTTTAAATTTTAACCCGGGACGAACAGACACAATGGAGGACATGCGGAAATGTCATTTTAGAGATTGGTAAGTTTAACCTCATTTTACTTGTATAAATGACCATTTAATACAATAATATTGTGTTGAATCGCTTGATGTTATGTGTTTTTATATTGTTGTCAAGTATCAGTTGCATGTTATCGCGGAAAAATGGTTTCGGTGGATCCAAAACTTGCATCAATGGAAAGAATAGCATGGAGGTTAAACTCAATAATGGCCCCAAGAAAATTCTTAATAATAAATAACGCCGTTATTGAGTTTAACGACGTTGAACTAGATTAGACCTAGCCTGGGCCTCGTTTCTTATCTGACATGTCTTGTGGCCCCCGGCTAGGTCTAACCTCCATGATAATTTTGCCTTTGATGCGTTAATTTAATCGTTGCGCAGGTTTCGACAAGTGGAACTAATAAGGTTCAGCTGGAAAGTTAACATTTTGGTAAAAAATTGCTATACCTGCACATGTTATTTTCTGTCTACTTTTTCTACACATTCCAAGAAAATTGCATTTTGCCTTTTTATAGATGATTTAAAGAAATAACTCATGTACACATTCCAAGAAAATCTTATTTTGTACTTTTTATTGATGATTTAAAGAAATAACTCAAAAATAAAAACATGATTTTTATTCAAATAATAATATTAAAACATACATTTATCTAATATATTACCATAAAAGGGAAGCATGGCATTGCTCATTTTTAAGGTCTCATGTTATTACACAGAGTTGCATATCCTTCTAATTGAATTGAAAGCCCATGTCCTGAGTAATCGCGATAATGATCAAAAATCTATTTGACAACAACCTCGTTTCGCTAATAGTTTAATTTTAACCCGGGACACCCAGACAAACAGACACAATGACGGAAAAATGGTTTTGATGGATCCAGAACTTGCAATAAAGGAAAGAATAGTAAGGAGGTTAAACCCAATGACGGCCAAGAAAATTCCTAATAGTAAAGACACTGTTATTGAGTTAAACGACGTTGATCTAATTTTTACTATGTCGCATCTTTTAAAGAACAACATGTACACTTGGTATCATGGATTTGAGTCATCATTTGCGAAGGATAGGCCTAGTATCAACAAGCCTTTAAGCTTAGGATTGGATACAAGATTCAAGTTTATTTCAAGACCACCAACTCTCGTTGGGCTATTTATCACTATTACATATACCTCAGTTATTCATCTAGTTTTACCATGGGCATTCAATAGAAGGGTATGCAACTCTGTGTTATTACATGAGAACTTCAAAATGGGAGGTGCCATGCTTCCCTTTTTTGGTAATATTTCAAAAAGATTTAGATTAAACATGGGCATTCAATAGACGAAAGCCCATGGTTTTACATACCTTAGAATTCTTAGATGCTTCTTAATTTCTGTAGATATATATATATTAGTTCCAAAATTGTTGTGATGTGCGATAATTATAGGCCTAAAATCCTTCGAAGAATGATGACTCTGATCAGTGCTTGGTATGTTTCAAAGAATGTGTGACAATCTCATCCAAAGTGTCTGTGATTTTGTACCTTCCTATTTAGGGAAGAGTCCAAAATTATGCTATTTTGATTTATGGAAAGGTCCATCAAATCTGATTGTTTCATTCTGAAAATATGAAGTCCGACCTTGGAATAAAATCAACCGGAATGACAGCTCCATTTTGTATGTACATGTATTGGTCCATTGTTATATGTCTGTATCCTTTGTGTTATGTACTATGTCACATTTTGTAAAAACTACACTGTGGTATGCAATTGTTTCATTTAAATTTTAGGATTACTTATTGTTAAACTATACTAAATACGTTCTACAAATGATCTTGCTATATTCTCATGCCGTACTAACTTCGACCGTTAATTTGAATTTCTGACCTATCAGATGTTTGAAAATCAAGGATTGCAAGTCTCATACTGCACCGTTTTTCTTCAAACTTGTTCCATTCAAAGCATAACAAAAATGCCTTTCTGTTGGTGCAGTATTCTGTTCTACAGAGTCCCTCCAGCGGTATTTTGGTCCCCAGCTGTTTTAGCACCAAAAACAATGCTAAAACGAGGCACTCTTTACAATAAAGTAATGCTCTGACAGAGGGGCAATTTTTTTGCTTTGAATTGAACAAGTTTGAGTAGGTCAAAAATTCAAATTAACGGTCAAAGTTAGTACCGCATGATTCTGTGGCCAAAGACCTTCGAATAAGACTTAGACTGTAACTTCAGGCCTTTGTTCTGTTCTATCCATACTTCCTATGTGATCATGTTGACCCCTTGACCTACAAGGTGTTGCTATTGACAGTAAATGGACACTGTTATTTTTTTAATTGATCAATTTGGCCTTAGTATTTATCCCAGATCCTTTTGTACTTTCTAAATACAATGTTTAATTTTTCAGTGAGAAAATGGAGACAATGAGGGTTACAGACTTCATCAGAGAAATTTTCAACAGGACCCAAAAACGATTTGAAAAGACATTCATGGAAAGTCACACTGTGGGAATGAGTATGGTTGTTTGTATATCAGAGCATCCGGGGTCTTATACTACTGAGCATTTTGAGTGCTCTTCCAAATCGTTGGAGTCCAGTAATCTGAGAAAACAAAGACTGTCACGCTTAGAATATATTGAAAATGGTATCTCTAGGTTGATTGAAAATGCAAAGAAACACAAGAGAGTTGTCAATCAGTCTGATGAGATGTGTATTTTCAAACGGGAATATCAAAGCCAAGATGAAAACATTATAATAGATAAACAATGTGAAAACTATAATGAATTTGTGGACATCAAGGATCTCAATGATGACATGGTTAAAACAGAAATAACCGAAAACCTCTTCTTTAAAGACATCACTGACAATGTGAAAGATAATGATGGAACATTTGATAAAATAGCTGATAATGACAAAATTGTTGACAATGACTTTCCAGTTTATGATACTGTTACAGTTGATCATGATGGAACAGTTGATGATGAAGCGGGGATTGAGAGTCTAGATTATGACATGAAAGTTGATGATAATGATGCAACATATGTTGATGACTTTTTAGTTGATGAAGCTATTACAGATGATCATGATAGGACAAATAATGATGACGGAACAGTTGATGATGAAACAGCAGTTGAGAATAGATGTTTTGATGATGATATGGGAGTTGATGATAACAACAGTGTTGATAATGATGGAATAGTTGGTGAGGAAAACAATCTTGAGGAAACAGATAAAATGAAAAAATATCACTGTAAAGAATGTGGTAAAGTGTACCAAACTAAATCGGCTCTTAATAAGCATTTTAGATGGCATTCTGGTCATCTTTTTAAATGTAAAACTTGTGGTAAGGCTTATGCTACAAGATCAGATCTGAAGCAACACACTTTGTCGCAACACAAAACCAAAAAAGGAAAAGGACTATACCCATGTAAAGAATGTTATAAAAGTTATTGTACAAAATCAGCTCTGAATAAACATTTCAGACGCCACACTGGAAATCTCTTTAACTGTGAAACATGCAATGAATCATATACCACTAAAGCTGATCTCCAGCAACATATCTTGTCAGTACATTTAAATTCAAAAGAAAATATAGCTCAAAGAAACCAAGAAGTAGTATACATTTGTAAAGAGTGTAACAAAAGATATGATACAAAGTCAGAATTGTCTGAGCATCGTAGAATCCATACTTGTAATATTACCACTCATGAAACTATGAAAGGGGATGAACTTAGTAATCAATTGAAGAGCCCTGAAGATGATGTGAATAAAAGAGAAACAAATAAAAATCCCTTCTTAAAAGATGACATCACTAACAATGCAATATCAGATGCAAGAAGAGTAACAGTTGTTGATGAGGATACGGGAGATGCTGATGATGATGATGATGATGATGATGATGAGAGATCAACTAATGATGACAACAGTGGTGATGATAGATCAGTGGATAATGATGAAGTAGCTGATTACAATTACAAATTACAGGAAAAGGATAAAACAGAAAAACACCTCTGTAAAGAGTGTGGTAAAGTATATCAAACAAAATCAGGTCTAAATAAACATTTTAAATACCACACTGGAGAGCTTGTAATGTGTGAAACTTGTGGAAAAGTATATACTGGAAATTCGGATCTAAAACAACATATGCGGTCCCATGGAATTGGAGACAAAGATCAAAGAGTGTATAAGTGTACAGAATGTGATAGACAGTATCAAACACAAGGAGCACTTAATAAACATTTTAGACGTCATACAGGGAATCTGTCCATGTGTGAATTCTGTGGAAAGGGATTTATTACAAATGTGGATCTCAAAAAACATATTATGTCAAGACACAGTGATGATAATGTCAGAGGAGTATTTCCCTCTTGTGAATTATGTGCGAAACAATTTAAGTCTAATAGGGAACTGTTGAAACATGTTAAAGTAAAGCACGCAGGAGAAAAATCTATTATTTGGGGACCTCCTTATAATTGTAAAGAGTGTCCACAAACATTCAGTGATCTCAGTGAGTTTGAAAAACATAGTAAAGACCATTGTATGCTATTTTGTGATCAATGCAATAAGCAATACTCATCAATCTCAGCACTGAATAAACATATGAGATATCACACCGGGAATGTATTCAGTTGCCTGCAATGTGATAAAAAATATGCAACAAACTGTGACTTAGAAGCCCATATTAAAAGCCGGCATTCGGAAACAGCGAAATTTAGAGCGATGCCTCTAAATCTTACAACAGGACCTCCTTTCCAATGTCCAGACTGCCCAAAATCATTTAGTCAATTGGCAACGTTCAGGTCACATTACAAGTGGCATTCCATGAAGGGATTGGTTGCATGTGATCAATGTGGTAAGTCATATAAGATTTAACTCAAAATCATTTAGTCAATTGGCAACGTTCAGGTCACATTACAAGTGGCATTCCATGAAGGGATTGGTTGCATGTGATCAATGTGGTAAGTCATTAGATTTAACTCAAAATCATTTAGTCAATTGGCAACATTCAGGTCACATTACAAGTGGCATTCCATGAAGGGATTGGTTGCATGTGATCAATGTGGTAAGTCATATAAGATTTAACTCAAAATCATTTAGTCAATTGGCAACGTTCAGGTCACATTACAAGTGGCATTCCATGAAGGGATTGGTTGCATGTGATCAATGTGGTAAGTCATATAAGATTTAACTCAAAATCATTTAGTCAATTGGCAACGTTCAGGTCACATTACAAGTGGCATTCCATGAAGGGATTGGTTGCATGTGATCAATGTGGTAAGTCATATAAGATTTAACTCAAAATCATTTAGTCAATTGGCAACGTTCAGGTCACATTACAAGTGGCATTGGTTGCATGTGATCAATGTGGTAAGTCATATAAGATTTAACTCAAAATCATTTAGTCAATTGGCAACATTCAGGTCACATTACAAGTGGCATTCCATGAAGGGATTGGTTGCATGTGATCAAATGTGGTAAGTCATATAAGATTTAACACAAAATCATTTAGTCAATTGGCAACGTTCAGGTCACATTACAAGTGGCATTCCATGAAGGGATTGGTTGCATGTGATCAATGTGGTAAGTCATATAAGATTTAACTCAAAATCAATTAGTCAATTGGCAACGTTCAGGTCACATTACAAGTGGCATTCCATGAAGGGATTGGTTGCATGTGATCAAATGTGGTAAGTCATATAAGATTTAACACAAAATCATTTAGTCAATTGGCAACGTTCAGGTCACATTACAAGTGGCATTCCATGAAGGGATTGGTTGCATGTGATCAAATGTGGTAAGTCATATAAGATTTAACACAAAATCATTTAGTCAATTGGCAACGTTCAGGTCACATTACAAGTGGCATTCCATGAAGGGATTGGTTGCATGTGATCAAATGTGGTAAGTCATATAAGATTTAACTCAAAATCATTTAGTCAATTGGCAACGTTCAGGTCACATTACAAGTGGCATTCCATGAAGGGATTGGTTGCATGTGATCAAATGTGGTAAGTCATATAAGATTTAACACAAAATCATTTAGTCAATTGGCAACATTCAGGTCACATTACAAGTGGCATTCCATGAAGGGATTGGTTGCATGTGATCAATGTGGTAAGTCATATAAGATTTAACTCAAAATCGATTTTGGTTCAATAGGTGGGAAATGGCAGTCAATGCTTTGAATTATTGGTAACTCAGGTCATCTCAACCCCAAGTCAACTCAACCCTGGTAATAGCAACCTGAGGTCAAAGGTTATACATGTATTGGTTCAGTTGACCTCAGGGTTGAGTCCATCAAGGGTTAGATCTGTAGATGACTACCCTGGAAATTGGTATTTTTTTAAAAGTGTGCATGATGCATTAAAAATATGTCTTTCGATCAACCCTGCGCTAGAAGTGCCTCGCCAGATGTTATCAATGAGTCGGAAATGGACATCATATGAATTGAAATATGAAAGTAAATAGCTGCAAGCTGTCATATTGAATTGTGTGTACTTTAACCTAAAATAATACTGGGGATTTTTAATTAGAAAATTTGACAATGACTGGAATTAGTTCAACCTGAGACCATCATTTTATGTTAGTCTCAGGTTCAACGCATTCAGCAAAATGAATTTGTATTTTAAAGTACAAAGCTTTTGAAATAAACCCTTAATAGCTTAATATATAGTACAATCCTAATTCTGTTCCACTCCATTAATATCAAGATATTACTCCAGGTCTGTATGTTTACTACCATGTAATGTAAACTTGCAATTACTTGTAAAAGTATTGGGTTTATGATATTGTAGCAATTGCCTTGAAATACTTAAAAAGCTTGTTTCTACATCTTATTAATAAATATTAAGTCGGTAGTCTGCTGCGTATTTGATATTTAACCCAGTTCTCTGGTCAACCTTCGTACTTGTTAATGTTTGCAAAATTCTTTCCAGACAAGGAGTTTACATTGAAAAGCAGACTTGAGCTCCATAAAGAATCTAACCATGGTCCCACTATATACCACCCTTATACAAATTTACTGGCTGTCACAGCCCGCTGTCACAGCGCTCTCGCAGCCCGCTGTCACAGCGCTCTCGCAGCACGCTGTCACAGCGCTCTCGCAGCCCGCTCTCACAGCGCTCTCGCAGCACGCTGTCACAGCGCTGCGACAGCGCTCTCACAGCGCTGTGACAGCGCTCTCAAAGCGCTGTGACAGCCCATCGGAATGTACCATGCAAATGAGGCGCTGCGACAGCGCTGTCACAGCATTGCCATATATGGCATTGATTATGTATCCTTCATACACATAAATCTTAATTACCTATAGCCTATAAATTTAAATATCTTTAAAACGTTTCAAATTATAAATTTCAAATTCAGCATGGAAAAAGTAGATTCTAGGCTTGTAATACTAGTAAGGTAATCAAAATTAAAAAAATAACTGTTACATCTTACCAGTCACACTGTTAAACCTGGCCAGTCACTATTTTTTGCTGCATACATACCAATATTAATATGAATCCCATTAACGAAATTAATAACTCTATTTGACTAGTTGACTTAACTTTAATAAGAAACGATTTTAAAAATATGGGTTGAGATTTGAGTGCCTGCTAAGGGGAGCAATTATTAGCTATTTCTTTTGTTTCCAACCTCTATTATTTGACAAGTTTCATAAACAATTACTCTCTTTGACTTGATCGACTTAGCTAACATTTGCCAATCCAACTGCTGTGGTTGTTGGCTGATGGATTAACCTACTAATTCATGACCAACTCATTCATATTCATATTTAAATGAACTGGCCATGAAGTTAGCTGGAGTTTGTTTTCCTTATGACTGGCAGGAGAGGGAGGAGGGGTGAACCAACTGTGAATTTTCTGAAAGGTGACCCCCTCATTGGCTTCAGGCCCAACATGTATTTTTCTTATGTCTGGATGGGTTCTGCAACAATTTTTGGTCCTTTCCTTTGGCATTTTTGCATACATATTTAAAGTCATTTAACCCATTCAACTTATCAAATGTGAACCAACCTGGAATTTTCTGAAATTACAAAGTTCATCTGCAAGTCTTTATATGGACATAAAGTTTATATGGACTATACATTGATATTTCAGACTTCTAGTTTAACCAGTACTAGTACCAGCACAAAATTCATATCATTTGATCCTTTTCCTTAGATCACTAAAACATTCCAAAGGTAGCCTATCTATAAATAATCAGTAGTACAATACCTTACATGTGCTTTATAAATCAGTAATGATATGATGGCCATTTCAGCATAATTCCTTTGCTTTTTCCTCCTACAAACTTCCTGCTCTAACTGATTTTCAGTTTGAATTTTTTACCCACAATGCATTGGTACTTCCTGCTGTGAGAGGGCTGTTAGAGCGCTGCCACAAACTCTGGCTAAGATAGCATGTTGCTGTAATTGATCCAGCCACTTAATTACTGTCACATCCCTCTCGCAGCGATGGATGGAAATAGAATGCTGTGACAGCGCTCTCACAGCGTTCTCGCAGCGTATGGATGTGAGAGCATTGTCGCTGAAATTGATCCAGCCATCAGTTTAAGCCTATATGCTGTCACAGCGCTGCCACAGCGCTGTGGCAGCGCTGTCACAGCTTTTATTTTCCGTAAGGGCACTGTTCAAAGTGTTGCAAGCACTTTTCAACAAAGTAAGTATACTCATATTAAAATGTGTCAAAATATGCCTATATGTTCAAATTTTGTATGATGATGCCTAGGGACAAAGTATATTTCTTCAAGAGAGAATTTTCAAGATGGTGGCTGAATTTCAAAATGGCTGCCATTTTTTATAAAAACTGTAATCGTTGATAACTCAAATACTAGTTGATGGATCTCATTCATATGCTGATGCCTAGAGACAAAGGAGCCACGCTGAAGGAATTTTCAATATGGCCACTCAATTCAAAATGGCTGCCACTTTATGTAAAAAATGTAATCTTTCATAACTCAAATACCAGTTCACGGATTTGGTTCAAATTGTGTACGTTGATGCCAAGGGACAAAGGAGGTACGCTGTAAAAGAGATTTTCAAAATGGCTGCTATAAAATGGCAGCTATTTTTCAGAAAAAATGTAATTTTTGATAACTCAAATACCAGTGAACAGATATTGTTCAAATTTTATATGATGATGCCTAGGGACAAAGTAGATTTATTTAAGAAAGAATTTTCAAAATGGGGGCTGAATTTCAAAATGGCCACCATTTTTCATAAAAACATATTTTTTGATAACTTATAGTTGATGGATTTGGTTCAAATTTTATATGCTGGTGCCTAGAGGATTGATAACTCAATTACCAGTGAATGGATTTGGATCAAATTTTATATGCTGGCGATGCCGGGACACAGAAGTTCTGTTCGAGAAAGCTTTTTAAAATGGCAGCTGCCGAATTTCAAAATGGCAACCTTTTTTCATAAAAAAGGAAAGAAATCTTTGATACTCAAATGCTAATTGACAGATATGGTTTAAATTTTATATGTTGATCCCTAAGGACAAACAAGCTCTGCTCAAGAAGGAATTTTGAAGATGGCCAGTCCACTAATAATCAAAATATGTTTTGTTCAGTGGGATTTGCTATTCCGTGAAGTTGCTGTTTTTCTAGTTGACCATGGAAATGATTTGGTTCTTATATATGGCATTGTGTTAAAATGTCAGACCTTCTTCAAGGATTTATGTCTAATTGTACATAAAATATTACAAGCTGAAGTCAATCAGATGCCAGTTATAGAATTTATTCAATGATTATGCTGGTAAGAGTGATAGTAATATAATAGAACAACTATTTCATTCTATCATTATATTTTTCATTGAACCTGTATATCTTTACAATTACATGTAGAGATATTCTATAAATCCTATAAGGTAACACAGGCATTTGCTTCAATACAAGTGAGATATTTGTAGAGTTGGTCAAATGATTCTTAAATAGATTTGTAATATCGAAGTTCTGTTTTATAGATCGGTTCAACATGCAGGCATGTGTTAGTTGGATGCTGTTTTTTATTTTCAATTTTAGATACATCACATGTGATTTGCAAAAAATCGTTTCAACATTTATTTGTACACTCCTTCACGCGACAATCGATCTTGCATTTTTTGTAAGCTTTCATTAAGCCTACCCAAGTGGGGCATTTCCCATTCCTGGCCTTTTTGGCTTTGTCCGTTCGCTTCTTATTTGCTTCAAAGCATTTAATCCTACATTTATCTCTGCATTTGTCTAGATTTCCTCCTATGTAAATATATGAGGCATTATTAATTATTAAAGTTAATCATGGTGATCGAGGATGGTTGAAATTGACTGTATATTTTAAGAAATTATAATTGAACTTCTATTATGTCAAAGGTGAAATATTGTTATATTGTCCCAATATTTTTGTGGATGGTGGTCAGTATTTGGTGTTTGGTGGGTGATGGTCATGGTCTGGCATTTGGTCTTTGGTATCTGTAACAAATGGCATGTAGTGACATTTTGCATATTAATGTCTAGTTAGTTGTTTTTTAGCATTTCATGTTTCACAAGGTCTTAAATTTCTCAATTAGCACTTAATGGTCATTGACTAACACAGAATTACATGAATAAGTACAACCAGGTATAATTGTCAAATAATTGCTTTACCATTGCATACAGCCTTCTGCACCTCCTTTGGATGGGAAACCTTCCCAAAGAATAAAATTGGTCCAGGAATAGTTTTCATTGCCCATCCATCCACTTCCTCTTTCACCTCCCTGATGAGGAACAGAAATGGCCTGTCACATTTGACAGTTGCAGGATCAGGGATATAACCTGATCTCCCTCCTATTACGTTAGTAACTGCAGAAGCCTCCGTACCTGTAGTCAGATGTAGCACAACATACATTTATTATTGACAAAAGAACTCATTTGACACCTTATTTAACTTTGCGACACAAATACCATTTTATGTCACAATTTTTATCTGTAACAAATGGCAGGTAGTAACATTTTGCCTGTTAATGCCTCATAGTAAATGACATTATGCAGTAAATTTCATAACATGCTTTATGTAAAATCATTTAATTCTTTCAGATATTTGTTGGTTGGCTGTGTTCATGTAAATTTTGTAAATTTTACTAAGTACACCTATACTCCTATGTCATCTTGGTCAAGGACACGCTGCACCTTAACCTCCATTACATCGTAATTTTTGGTTTTTCGGAGGGATATAGGGAACGCCTCCGTCCGTCCGTACGTACGTCCATCCGTACGTACGTCCGTCCGTCCGTCCGGGCAATAACTCAAATACCGTTGGCCCGATTTTATTCATATTTTGTACACATATACCCTATGGGGGTAGAAATTCTGCTCGAAAGCCGATTTTCAAAATGGCCGCTCATTTGAAAATGGCGGCCATTTTACTGCCGATTTTACAGTAATTTAGGTGCAATATGTAAAACTGTAATAGCAATATGTTTTAAATGTAAAAAAAATTATATAGGACATTAATAAAGCTAGAAATGTAGATATTAAAAAAGCACATGGCAGCCATCTTGAAAAATGGCGTCCTTTACTCGTTATTTTACGATTTTTGCTGTAACTCGAAAGTAGTGGAGCGATTTTGTTCATATTTGGTATGTGAATACTATAAGCATGGCACACTGTCTAATGACACTTTTGGTAGAAGGCGGCCATTTTGAAAAATGGCGGACATTTTGAAAAATGGCCGCCATTTTAACTTATTTTACTAAAACTCGAAAAGTAGTGGAGCGATTTTGTTCATATTTGGTATGTTAATACGTAGAAGCATGGCACACTGTCTAATGACACATTTGATAGAGGGCGGTAATTTTTCAAAATGGCCGCCATTTTAATGTATTTTACTATAACTCGAAAAGTAGTGGAGCGATTTTGTTCATATTTGGTATGTGAATACTGTAAGCATGGCACACTGTCTAATGACACTTTTTGGTAGAAGGTGGCCATTTTGAAAAATGGCGGACATTTTGAAAAATGGCTGCCATTTTAACTTATTTTACTATAACTCGAAAAGTAGTGGAGCGATTATGTTCATATTTGGTACGTGAATCTTTTCAAAATGGCCACCATTTTAACGTATTTTACTATAACTCGAAAAGTAGTAGAGCGATTTTGTTCATATTTGGTATGTGAATATTATAAGCATGGCACACTGTCTAATGACACTTTTGGTAGAAGGTGCCCCTTTTGAAAAATGTTCGATGGGATTCGCTACGCTTTGGCGTTGCCGTTGTTCTGGTTTGATCTATTAAAGGCCCAATTTGTGAATTTTCAACATTTTTGGGCAAAATAAAGACCTACATTTTAATTTCATAGTATGTCAAATGCATTGATAAGTACCTTATCTTTTATTTGACACCATCTGACAAGCTTTATATACCAGGTTTTTATCACTAATGTCATTGAAGAATGGCAAAGTGGTTTGTATTACATTATACATTCATTTACTTAGAAGTGTCACCATCTTTTAAATCAACAGTAATTTAAAACATGCACTTTGTTTAACATGTGCATGCATGTCTAATGATCTCTGAACTTCAAATGCTTTTTTCTATGTGAGTTATTTTTTTCTTGGTTCACACCCTATGCAGACAGAGCCTGTGGGAAATATTGGGTGCGGAGCAAATGAGCGGAGGGTGCGGAGCTAACGGTCATTTTTGAATTTAAATTTGGGATATTTCTGAAACTAAGCCGTTTTGGGACTTCAAATATACCAAGATATGTGTATTTGACACCAAATATCAATACAATTGTAAAAATAGTAGCGCAATTTATTCTATAGTGACGCAGTGTGCCTTTAACCTTTCCCAGACCTATATATTTTGAAATTATCCTTTTAATACTGAGTCCCCAGCATTCATAAAAAATGGTGTTCAAGGTACACTATCTATACAAATTATTTTTGCATCTTGGAAGCCAGGCAGTATCTGTGTGATTTTATAAAAATTCGGAAATGTTCTTCAGATATGAGCCCCCTCTAAATATTGGGTGCGGAGCAGCTCCATAAACGTAGCTCCGCACCCAATATTTAGAGGGGGCTCATATCTGAAGAACATTTCCGAATTTTTATAAAATCACACAGATACTGCCTGGCTTCCAAGATGCCAAAATAATTTGCATGGGTAGTGTATCTTGAACACCATTTTTTATGAATGCTGGAGACGCAGTATTAAAAGGATAGTCTCAAAATATATAGGTCTGGGAAATGTTTAAGGCATACTGCGTCGCTATTAAATGAATTGCACTACTATTTTCACAATTTTATTGGTATTTGGTGTCAAATACACATATCTTGGTATATTTGAAGTCCCAAAACGGCTTAGTTTCAGAAATATCCCAAATTTAGATTCAAAAATGACCGTTAGCTCCGCACCCTCCGCTCATTTGCTCCGCACCCAAAAATTTCCACAGGCTCTGTCTGCATAGGGTGGTTCAATATTAAAGCAAATCGAACTTTGTTTCATGTTTGAGCAAGTGTGTGAGTAACATGTTTCAATGATTTTTTTTTCTTCCAAATTAAGTATGGCCTTTAAGCTACTGTAACAGACATTATTACTTAGTATCCCATTTATCGCCTAAAAACACTTGACAAACATTTTACAAAACATGAAATGCAATTAAGTCACAAGTAATAAAAAAATTTCACAAATCCCCAGAGATTTAATTGACAATTTCCCGAAGATTAATCTTCCCGATTTTACCACAATCGCAAAAAGTGTGAAACTAAATCACACACGAAAAATACTGGGAGTACAGTAAGTGGAAGGGAAATTGTGCAAAGCTTCTCTTTATTAAAAGGAGTTTTCAAATATAAATGGCCTTCCTTGATATATGTTTAGATTCAACTTTACCATTTTCATTGATAACCACTGCTGCCTCATGTAGAACAGTTGAGACATCCACTCTGGGATCAGTACTGAAACCATCCAGATTAACACTTGCAGAGAACAACTCGTCCATTCCCATAGCTTCCAGAATGGAGTGAAGCTCGTAGTTCTCCCTGGACTCAAATCTTGGCACATGTAAATATGTAGGTGTAGGCCAATACTGGAGCTCATCTGAATATTTCATTGCATATTACATATTATAATTCACCATCATATTCCTTTCTCTCAAGATCTTCACTTAGGCTTTGTATAAAAAACCTCCTACCTCATACCCACCTACCCACCTACGTGGAACATGATACGGTCATTGAAGGGTTCAATTTTAAAGATTATTAAATCTCAAAATAGCTAAAATGATTAACATTTCTACAATTCCGTCTTTATTTTATGACTAGACAGATGACAGATCCATAAATACAGGCATATGGATGCATTTTAATGTGTAATGACCCGAGAGCGCCCCAGGGGAATAAATAACTAACGACCGCGAGCTTAGGTCCAACAAGCCAGATAAAGAAATTGAAAGAAAGTGTGCTAAAGTCAATGGCCCGAATGGGAATCGTACCCAGCTGGGATGTAGTAGCACCTTGCTATCAAGGGCCGTTACAAATGCATCTATAATTCATCATGAACTAAGATTTAATAAACTAAGATCTTTGAAATTGAACCCTTCAAAGACTGTATCATGTCCCACGTACTTGGGTAGGTGGGTATGAGGTAGGAGGTTTTTTATACAAAGCCCTTCACTTATGCAGCCCTGTCAACTTGGGAACATCGAATATGAGTGACTTACAAATGTTGAACACCTTCTTTCAAAAATTTCGAAGCAAGTGCATGACATATACTCATGTTTCAATCCAAATGCGTGACATATACAGAATTCGCATGAAAAGTCCGAATGGAATGCGATCGGTTTTTTTTGGCATTCGTTTTTTACCGTATCAGCTTGTAAAAAGCAGATTTTTTAAATATCAACATAATGCGTGATTTCTGTGACATTTTAGCATACACACAAAAGTTGATGCGTGATTTCTATTTTTCCAGCAAATTTTTGACAATCGTACCTAATGCGTGAGGGTTGACAGGGCAGCCTATGTTTCATTAGTACAACAGAAGAAATGCCAGCTGGGGTATATGATATAGAAGTCTTGGGATAAGAGTACACTGGATCATGCCAGTCAAGTCACTCTCGTGATTTGGTGAACTAAATTCTCTTAAACGAGTAATCAAAAAAATCTGAAAAAATAACGCATCGTCAATGCAATGGTTATCGTTTGACTAGATACAATTAATTTGAAAAATATATACAGGGTGGTCCAAAAAAATGGGACACTCGTCACACTTTCAAAAATAAATATTTATTTTCTTGGTTGAAACATATCATATTATATACCAATGGATAGGGAATTTACTCATCTTTAATTTGGTACATCATTTATTTAAAATAATAAAACTTTGTTTTTGCAAGTATTGGTAAACCCGTTTTGAAATGAAAATGACATCATTTATTTATATTATGGACGTTGGTTGACAGACATTATAATAAATTTGAACTTATGATAAACCAAATTAAGGATGAGTAAATTCCCTGTCCGTTGGTATATAATATGACACGTTTTCGTCAAGAAAATCAATATTTATTTTTGAAATACGAGTGTCCCATTTTTTTGGACCACCCTGTATGTATTTTTTACATGATTTTTTAGTAAACCAAACTAACACTGTCTTTTGCTCTTGCTACCATATCATATTTGGAATGAAATGAAACATCTATGAAACCCTCATTGGATTTGTACTTAGTTCTCTCGATATCATAGTTATAAAATGAAAAATGAAATTCCATATTTTATCTACAGGTACAATTGGTCAGAGAGAAAAAATGTTGAATTTTAGAGTTCACCTAATTATAAGTGATCATTAAGAGTGTGGTGGTCTAAGACATTAAAATAAATTGACCTAGTGATCGTTCATTAAAAGATTCATAACATACCTAAAGCTTTCGCAAGTTTTTCGTGTGTGAGTTTGTTTTGAAGGTCATTAATAGCATCTTTGGCATCTGGGAGAATAATAACCATGCGAATGTCAACACTTCCATCATTTTTTCCTACTACATAGGGCAGTTCAAGAAATTGTGCTTTGAGATCATTATCGTAGTAATGGTTAAACAGATCTTCTTGATACATCATGTTAACATTGATTTTGCCACCAGATTCAGTTGTGAAACTCTCAACAGATGTATCGGATATGTCAAACTTGTTGAGCCAGTTGCCTTTGAAGTAAATAGCATTAATTAGCACCATGACTGTAATTGAATTAATTGAACTTGGATGTAGCACACTTGGTATCATTGTGTTGGTCTGCTTTGACACCCAGGCGTTTATGATCGCACGGCTTGCAGCTGAATCTCTGTAATCAAGCCCCTCAACAGTGGCATTATAATATTTGGCTATGTCTCTTTTAAAACGCCCATTTACAACTAAAGTCTGATCAGGAAATAGCTTGTTAGCTGACTCAAGAATTGGTCCTCCTACGCCTCCATAAAGATTTTTATCAAAAAATTGGTATGTGTCGTGAAGACATTTCTTCAGACCGGTTGTATAGAGTACATCCTCCATTTGAGATTTTGTCTCCCCTTTGGCTCCAAGCATCAACATAGACAAAGCAGTTGTAATGCTAATTGGACTGAAGAAGACATTTTCACCTGGATGGCTTGCAGATAACTCCATGTACATATCAATCGCAAATTTGTTTATTGCTGCTGATAATTCTTCTTTACATAGTGCCGCATGTGCCTCATTGTACCTCCCAGATAGGGAACTTTGAATCCAAAGCATTACAGTTAGTTTCAGTAAGCTTTTCATATCATGAGTTGTTAATTTGCTCAAACTTAACATCCAGTTGCTTTACTTAGTTTTGCGTCTTTCCTATTATTAAAATGAAATGTTTTGCAAAGCATATACAGGAATTTATTTAACATCAGTAGGATGTTATTTATACTGTTTTATTGTTTATAAGTTGTTTATTCAGCATACGTGCGTAATGACCTATAAATTATATCATGTTGTACTTAGCAAGATCTAAGTGTAGGAAATATTGAACGGAATGTGTTATTGTGATATTACGTCCATTTTACCTAAAAAAATTTATTTTGCCAGGTTCAATAAATTCATGCAAAAACATTCTAATTTTTTTATTTTTCAATGTTTTCCTCACAAATCATAGACAAAATACCTACCTGTATGCCCTTCTCCAAGCTATTTCACCAAGACAATGCCCCATGTCATCAAGCAAATACATGTATGGTTCAGGATACCATCCGAGATACCCTACAGATGGAGATTTTAGACCAGGCTGCATACTCCCCTGATGAGGCTGTATTGGACTTTGGGGTGTTCAATAGGATGAAAGATGAACTGAGAGGTGATCATTATATGCAAGCATGATAGACTTCACTGCAGCAGTGCAGAGTGCAATGCGCACTAAATTCCCTTGACAATGTGGCTTTAGGGCTCAATACGAAGAATGGATGAAGGGCCAGGAACTATGCATCCAGTATATAAAGGAATAAATAAATAAAATAAATACAATATTTTATAGAGTGTACCTAATGTGCAACTTAACTAATAAATTACAAGAGTTCAATTAAAGTTAAACTTTTTCACGTCATAAATTGCCTGGGTGACCAAAACACGGGTTACCAATTACCATAGCAACCATAACTTTTGACCAATCAAAACAAAGTAATTTGTTTTTTTGTTTTTTTTTCAATGAGTAGGTATTCTTTCTATGATTTGTGAAAGTTTCAAGGAAAAACATTGAAAAATAAAAAAAATTAGAATGTTTTTGCATGGACTTATTGAATGACCTGGGAAATTACAGTGTATTTTAATAACATTGTGTTCATTCTAGTATGCTTATCAGTGTATGCCAGGAAAAGGCCAATTTTATTACAAGTTAGTCAATGCTTAGTAGATGGCAGCCTGAAATAGTAATGTGAAAAATTGTTTTGATCCTGTGTTCTTCTCGTCAAATGAAACCTCCCTTTCTTTATCTTAAGGTTTCTATGCCAATGATACGAGACCAAATGAGGATGTAATTATGGCCAGATTTATTTGATTTGTAAATGATGTACAATATAATCAAACACCCTCACCATATATTGTATATTTTAGGCAAAATTCATCTTTTATTTTCTTCATTTAAAAGGGCAACTCACTCAAACATTTTTATCTTTTAATTTTTCTAAATACTGTAAATTGCTTAAATTTGGCAGATTGGGCAAATTCTGAAATTTTGGATGCCATTTAATGTGGCAGATTGACCCATAATTATGAGCTAAAATGTAATGAAAATGAGATTACAATCAAAGTATTGAAAGAATTCTTAATGCTACTTAAGATACAAGGGCTAAGAGTTAAGGTCCCAGGGATTTATCAAAAAATTGGTAGAGCCGTGATGTATCTCCCCGTCAAATCCGCAAAATTAATAAAATCTACAGTAAGTAGTACACTAAAATTGTCATTTCTTAGTTTAAATTTATATTCTGATCCTGTCTTTTTATCCCACTTTTTCCGTGTTATATTGTTGTCACCTTGTGCCAATGGTGTGCATGCTTGTGTGTGTGTTCTTGGGCAGGTGCCACAAAAAATATGGTTTAACAATTTTGCACACACTGCTTCTGACGACATACAGCCTTGCATTTTTTGTATTTTTTCATTAAGCCAACCCAGGAAGGACATTTATTCCTAGGACTTGGGAACTTCTTGTTAGCTTCAAAGCATTTTGGCCTACAGTTCTCCCTGCATCTACGCAGTTTTTTTCCTATAATTTAATGAAAAATATTTTAAAATTATTGCATCATGGAATATCACACATTTTGAAGATCACAGACAGCTATGAACAAGTTCAGAAATTGACTTAATTTCAGAATTTTAAGGTTCTGATTTTCTTTGATATATCTTTGAAAAAGATAAATGTTGCATATTATATTATGTTCGTCCCTTGTCAATTTGTCACTCCATCCTATGTCAGTGATTCTAGCATCAAGAAAAGTAGAACTTTGCCTCCCCCAATCAGTAACATACACTTGTACCATGACAGTAAGTAAGTGTGAAATATATTTCCGGGCAGATTAATCAAAATACTTTACCATTACATTTAGGATTCTTGGTCTTCTCCGGCACAGAAACCTTTCCAAAGAATAAAATTGGTCCAGGAATTGTTTTTGTTGACCATCCACTCACTACCTCTTTCACCTCCCTGATAAGGAACAGGAATGGCCTGTCACATTCAACAGTTGCAGGATCAGGAATATAACCTGATCTCCCTCCTCCTATGACTGTCACTGCAGAAGCTTCAGAACCTGTAAAAAGTTGCAAAGGCTTCATTAAATCTTGTGTTAAAATTTCAATTTTTGTGTATGCAGTCAGAAAGCATCACAACTATCTTAAAATGCATATTATATGCAAAAATATGCATGCAGGACTATGTGATTTTAACTAACTAATACAAAACTATTTAGAAGTTATAAATAAGTAAGAAATATAACAGTGCATAGTCCAATGCTAGCAACCCTAATTTTTGATACGGATTTGATAAGGACATGTCTACTGCATATAGAAAATAAGGGGAAATGTCCAGAAAATAACTTTTGCAATGGAACTTATCGAGATATTAACAATTTCTGAAAAAAACATGAGATGTAGATCATACTTTTCCTAATCACTTTGGCAAGGGGTCAACTTGTTCTTCTTAAAGTATGTTAATGCAGTAGCAAAATGAATTGTGTGTAGAATTGAGTAAAACATTTACATCACCATTTTCATTGACAACAACAGCTGCCTCATGTATAACAGTTGAGACATCCACTCTGGGATCAGTACTGAAACCATTTAGATTGACACTTGCAGAGAACAACTCGTCCATTCCCATCTCTTCCAGAATAGAGTGAAGCTGATATTTCTCCTTGAAGTCAAATCTTGGTACATGTAAATATGTTGGTGTTGGCCAATACTGGAGCTCATCTATAAGAAAAACATGAAATGCATGCAACAGACAATCAGACATAAGCATTGTTTGAGGTGGAAAATGAATCTGTCTTTGTTTTTTAGGCAAATCAATTGTAATGTTTGAAACAAGAACATTTCTTGCTTTTTTCATTTTGACCAATGGCATTTCATCCCATTCATCAAAAGCAGAGTCACTGTGGATTTTTTTAAACTCAGGCATAATGACTTGAAATGTTTAAAATGGTGCATCTATTGAAAATGTAAAATGACTAGGATTGCAAGGAGTAAAACTGATGAAACTCTTGAAATACTTCTTAATACAATCTATCTGATCAGATAGATGTCATAATATCATTAAGTTGCTTGATCGTCTTTTGATATAGCTGCAGTTTGCACATTTGTAACATCTTTATTACTCAGTTCAGGGTTTGATATACATGAAAACTACAGTATTTAAAATCACCAAGCTGTATGCTTGCAATGAGAGCAATTGTAATGACAAAAAAAAACAGGTAAGTAGTAAAAATACAATTTATTTTGTTTTATTAACTCCCCATTCCTGCCGGCTGATTCCTGGTGTGAAAAACTAGTCAATGGCTTTCTATATGGTAATTGAATTAACGTTACAGGTACAGGCCGTTCATAAAGTTCTTGCAAAAGTACTCTAATTTTTTGGTTTCTCAATCAATCTGGCTGACATTTTCCCTCAGTATACCAACACTATTCATATATTTGAATCTTGAATTATAATTAGTAGGTGCAAATGAAAACTAAGAAACCTTGTAACATACCTAAAGCTTTAGCCAGGTTCTCATCTGTGAGTTCCTTTTCAAGTTCAGTGATTGCAAAATCTTCATCTGGGAGAATAATAACCATGCGGATGTCAACACTTCCATCATTTTTACCTACTTCATATGGTAGTTCAAGAAATTGTGCCTTCAAGTCATTGTCATAGTAATGATAAAATAGATCTTCTTGATACATCATGTTAACATTGATTTCTTCACCTGTTTCAGTTATGAAACTCTCGACAGATGTATCTGATATGTCAAACTGGTTGAGCCAGTTGCCTTTGAAGTAGATAGCATTAATGAGCACCATGACTGTATTTTGGTCAATTGAACCTTCCTGTAGCACATTTTGTATCATTCTGTTTGTCTGTTGCGATACCCAGTCATTTATAGTCCTCCTACTTGCATCTGAATCTTTATAATCAAGCTTCTGAACAGAAGCATTATAATATTTTGCTATATCTTCCTCAAAACTGTCAATCACATCTAAAGTCTGATCAGGATATAACCTATTTGCCGATTCAAGGACTGGTCCTCCTTCACTTCCATAAAGATTTTTCTCAAAAAATTGGTACGTCTCGTGAAGACAACTTTTTAGATCAGTTGTATAGAGCACCTCCTCCATTTGAGATTTTGTCTTCCCTTTGGCGCCAAGCATCAACATAGACAAAGCAGTTGTAATGCTGATTGGACTGAAGAAGACATTTTCACCTGGATGGCTTGCAGATATCTTCATGTATATATCAATCCCAAATTTGTTTATTGCTGCTGATAGTTCTTCTCGACATAGCTCTGAAACATATTCCTCTCCAAGAGAAACTTGAATCAAAAGTAAGAGAGCTGTTAGTTTTACCATAATTTCCATACTCCAGGATGTTGACTCTCAATAAACTCTTTAACTTCTATTTCTTTTATATTCATATGTATTAATATACAAGAAATGTTTCCTATTACCATTTTGTATCAATTTATTTAATTGCTCCTTGTTGTTTTGGTATTGTTTATTGTATGGTTTGTTCAGCATTAGTGCGTAGGGAATAAATAGATAATGTATAATGTATGTTTGATTGATAATGAGTGGTTAAATTGAAGGTCTTATTAGAAATATCAATTTAATAGATCTTGTTTTTTAAGAAATTATCTTGTATATCTGTCATGGATGTATGGACAATCACATTTGTATATGATGTTTCCTAAGTTGGTTTCATTTGTTGACTCTTGAATAGAGGTTCTTATCACAAGACCCCTTTGTGAATTAGAACTCTTTGTCCAATCATCATATTGTGTCTTTTGTATTACTACCCCTGGCATTTACAACATTTGTAATAATGTATGCTTTAAAATTCTTTATTCTGATATATTGATAATCTTTTAACAATTTTGCACACATTTGTCTTTGCGGCAATCAGTCTTGCAATTTCTGTATTTTTCAAACAACCCAACCCAGGTTGGGCAATTCTTCTTCCTTGATTTGTTTGTGAGTCTCTTATTTGCTTCAAAGCAATTCAACCTGCACATATCTCTGCAATTGTTTAGGTCTTCCGCTATAAATATAAAATCACACAAATATTGACAGGGTTAATGAAAAGTAAAAGAAAACAAAGTAAAGTTAGATCCATGATAAATTATATGTTACCATTACATATAGCATCCTTTGCCTCTATAGGTTCAGAAACTTTTCCAAAGAATAAAATTGGTCCAGGAATAGTTTTCATTGCCCATCCATCCTTTTCTTCTTTCACCTCGCGGATGAGGAACAGGAATGGTCTGTCACATTTGACAGTTGCAGGATCAGGAATATAACCCGATCTCCCTCCTCCTATGACTGTCACTGCAGAAGCTTCAGTACCTGTTAAAAAGCATAACAGGCTACATCAAATCTAACATTAAAATGGGTCTCTTAATGAGATTTGGATGAAAGGGCATTTAGTATTCTCACTGTCATGTTTATCATTCTGTGCTTGATTGAATATACATCACATGACATAAAATATCATTTGTTATCTCTTTATAATGCTTACTGATCGTTGGGAGATAAGTGGCACTCGTTTTGAAGTGGAAATATTTTCTACACTTTATTTTTATATACCTGCTCCAGTATGAGGCTTTTTCATTTACTTGAGCCTTTTTCTGAAGAGGAAATATTTCTTATTGACACAGAATAAGATATTTAAAAGTGAATAAGACTGGTTAGTATTTATGTTATGTGGAAAATGTTGCCATTTTATGTAAATTTTCATGCACTAGTGCCAAAGGGAAAGGATCAAAAATGTTACAGAACACAGCAGGAAAAAGAAAACATCTAAGCATACAGCATACTTAACAAACGAAACAAACCCCAACTATCCCAAACACTAATCTTATCTGAAAAAAAATAATGTCTGAAACACCCTTTCCACCATTCAAATTCTGAGCTATTACAATTCAGGACAATAACATCAAGGGACATTTTATTCATACTGAACATCTTTTCAACATTATACATTTACATGTATTTTATTTCACAATGTCTTGAAACCAAGCACATTTCTGGTTAATATAAAAAATCAAATTCTACACTTAATATTTTAGATGATCTGCAAAATCAAAAAATAGAAGGTTCCACAGTATGTGATTGCCAGTTTTCAAGTTGACTGCATTTCACAACAAACATGATTCTAAATTACCATTTTCATTGATAACCACTGCTGCCTCATGTACAACAGTAGACACATCCACCCTGGGATCAGTACTGAAACCATCCAGATTAACACTTGCAGAGAACAACTCGTCCATTCCCATATCTTCCAGAATGGAATGAAGCTGATACTTTTCCTTGAATTCAAATCTTGGTACATGTAAATATGTAGGTGTTGGCCAATACTGGAGCTCATCTAAAATAAAAAATAAGTTTAGAAAAATACATGGATGAAGCAGTAATAGGGCGGATTTTGTTCATGGGATGTTCATTATAGTTGAATATATTTAATTCAGAATATCAGGACAATAAAATATAAACAGCCAAGTACAACCCTCAAAAACATGTTTCTACAGTGTTATGAAAAAGTACATTAGAAACATATAGGTATCATTCGAAACTATGAAGCAATAAAATTGCCCTGTGGTGTAATCATCAATTCTCTGAGTAAATTAACAAATTAGTTGTTGTTGAAAAAAAACATTATGAATGTAAAAGTCTTGATTTACTCATAATTTTGTGAAAAACTATATCCATACTTCAATAAAGATATTTGAGAAACAGGAATCACAAATTACAGTCTCATAAAGATGTTATTTGATGAACTAACTGCAATGCATTATTTTAAAAAGTATGCTGTATTGAAAATCTCATTATTACCCAAAGCTTTTGAAAGCATTTCAGCTGTTAGTTTCTCTTGAAGTTCAAGGATGCCATCTTTTCCTTCTGGAAGAATGATAACCATGCGAATGTCCACACTGTTCTTTGTTCCTACTTCATATGGTAATTCCAGGAACTGTGCTTTGAGGTCATTGTCATAGTAATGGTTAAACAGATCTTCTTGATACATCATGTTCACATTGACTACTTTACCAGTTTCAGTTGTGAAACTCTCGACAGATGTATCTGATATGTCAAACTGGTTGAGCCAGTTGCCTTTGAAGTAAATAGCATTAATTAGCACCATGACTGTATTTTGGTCAATTGAACCTTTCTCTAGCACATTTTGTATCATTTGACTGGTCTGATCTGAGACCCAATCATTTATAGTATTGCGGCTTGCATCTGAATGATCTTTGAAATCAAGTTTCTGGACACTGGCATCATAATATTTTGCTATATCTTTTACAAAACGTCTATTTGCATCTAAAGTCTGATCAGTATATAGCTTGTTAGCTGATTCAAGAACTGGTCCGTCTTCGCCTCCGTAAAGATTTTTTTCCCAAAAATTGTATGTTTCATGAAGACATCTTTGAAGCTCAGTTGTATAGAGCACCTCCTCCATTTGAGATTTTGTCTCCCCTTTGGCTCCAAGCATCAACATAGACAAAGCAGTTGTAATGCTAATTGGACTGAAGAAGACATTTTCACCTGGATGGCTTGCAGATAACTCCATATACATATCAATCCCAAATTTGTTTATTGCTGCAGATAATTCTTCTTTACATAGCTCTGGTCCTAGTACCTGCTTGTTTTTCTTCTGCCCAGCTTCAGCAATATGAATCAAAAACATCAGCACAGTTACTTTTATCAAGATTTCCATCCTGCAAATGTTTGCCTTTCAATGTACACTCACCTTTTTTCAGTTGTCAACATTGTTCTATTCTGATATTTTTTATTGTTGTGCAGTGTAAGTCCAGCATATGTACGTAGGGAAATAAAATAAATAATCATTTGTGGAGTACATTGTTATAAATATATATAGGAAATATTAATGTTTAAAGTAGCTTGTTTCCAGAAGATGTATATAGCAAACTGAGAAATTGCAAAAGTCAGTTGCTAAATCAGTACCAATGAAATCTGATATAGGCCATACTAATACTGTTAAACCGAAATATATGAAATGATTTTCTTTGTTATTGCATTTGTTTTATTGAAATTAATAAATCAAATCACTATTCTTTTCGAACCTTAACACATACAAGACCCTATATACTAAATTTTCAATATGCACTTTGTGTACACAATACTGATATGTTTTCAAGCAGTTATTCATGAGCTATATCATGATTAAACAAATACTGTATCAGATTAATTATATGGTTAATAAAAAGTCAATAATTATCTTACTGAACAAAGTTCGACGGGGATATAGAGAAGCTAATACAGCCGTCCGTCAGTCCATTCGTGTGTCCGGTTGATAACTCAAATACCAGTTGAAGGATTAAAATTTTAAAGGCTTATGCCTTATGAGTGTAGGACCTCTGCTCGAGAAGGAATTTTCAATATGGCAGTTTAATTCAAAATGGCCACCATTTTTTGATAACTCAAAGACTAGATGATGGTTTTGGTTCAAATTTTATATGCTGATGCTTTCAAGATCCTAAGTAAAAAGAAATAGCAATCCTCATGTAATAATTGGTTAACTTTGGTTTAATAAATATGCATTCGATGAAAGTTTGTTTAATGAGCATTAAATCAATGAAAGTTGAATGCCAATAAATAGGTATTTATAACACCTATTTATTATTTTAACAAATATGTTATAATGTTCTTTCAATAATTGGTTAACTTTCTGTCATTCTTGCTACCCTAGGTGATGGTTATTAGTTAATTGTTGAGATTGGACTTATAAAAAATGTAGTAGCGAGTATCAGCAAAATATTAAACCTGCACATCGCTCCAAAACGCAATATGTTGACATATATTGTTTTTACATTTTTAAGCTCTAATATAAAGTTCATGTAAATAAAAAAAAATTTTCTGCGTTATATCAAAGAACAATCATTAAGTTAAAAAAATAAAACGGCGAATGCGGGATTCGAACCCGGGCCTCCCGCATGCTAAGCGAGAATTCTACCGCTACACCACCGTGTTTTATGAATGGTGGAAGTAATTAAAAGCTACTTATTTTGAATGCTATGATTCGGAAGTGACGTCACGTTCTTCATTTAGAAACCTTTCCAAAATCATATCGTCGGCGCCGATCGAAGCAATTCAATGAAAAATCTTTGAAATGACACATTTATCGTAAGTATTTCTACACAAGACTTGCCCCATTTGTTCATCATTCTATAATCTTTCATTAAGCTCAAAATGATAAAGTTCACCCCCGAAACAACCCAAGATTGCGTTTTGGAGCGATGTGCAGGTTTAACTCCATGCAATTTTGCATGGTCATCAATGATTGATTGGGATTTGCTACTCCGTGAAGTTGCTGTTTTTCTAGTTTTTAATTAGTCAATTGTTGTATCATATCCAGGATGTAAAGTATTCCAGTTATAGGGACAGCTTCATGATCCAAAAGTTGTTACTTTCTCACTCAATTTTTAATTTCTTCGTAGGATTTTTTATATCGTCCTGAAACTCTGACAGAAAATTGTGACATTAAAATTAGGAAGACATTAAAATTGTGACTAATTACACATTCACATTTTATGTACATAATGTATACTTAAATGACTTAGAAAATGAGTCAACAAAAATAATTTCTGAATTCAAGATTTATGTAATAAATCTTAGGCCTGATGATGAACTTTAAAGATTTTAGCACAATTATCGAAAATATGTTATTTTCTCATTTCAGTCACCCTATGAAAAAATAACATATAAAAATATTGTTTTCACCAAACATGTCCTGGATTTGTTCAGAGTGAACTTCAAAACATGCACGTTAAATTCATTGCTCAACTTCAGTTATTTTTATTTGATGTATTGTATTGAAACTCAAAGTAAAGGTATTTGTAGAATGGAAACCTTATAAAAAATTAACATGGCTATATAACAATACATCAATCCTTTTCTAATGGCTTTCTTTTATATCAATGATTGTAAAAGTATATTTATACATTGTTTTTATACACCTGGGAATATATAATGATCATTTAATGTGAGATGTTGAAACCTCTGACGCACAAGACCAACATACTGTATATTTAACCTTATTTACCTTTTTAATTAATTAAATATATGACGACTGTCTTATCAAGTAATTTATAGTGAAACAAAAATCATACAAAAATGGAAGAATTCAAATTGTTAATTTTTCTGCATTTGCTGGATTGTTGCACTCAAAACTTGTAGGACCCTATTGATTATTTGAATTAACCTGATATAATATAACTTTTTATTTGACTGTATTTCCAGGAGGAAGTTAAAGAGACATATGATGCAGGTGCATAAAATGATTATACCAGTTCCAAATATGCTTGACTAAAACACATGCATAGAATCAAGAACCCCAATCAGATCATAGCCTACAAGTACCATGCTATATATGTCTGTTTATCAAGATTGAATGTATGAATACCATCATGTGTGTCTGTTGAACAAAACCAGACTAGCCTTCCAGTACCATGATGAGGTATGTCTGTTTATGAAGATTGGATGAGCCTACCAGTATTGTGTCTGACCGTCTAACAAAACACAATCAGGCAAGCCTACCAAAACCAGGACTTAGGATGTCAAGCCTACCAAATCTGAGTATGTTTGTAAAACAAATTCAGATGAGCCTACCAAAACTGAGCATGTTTGTAAAACGAAAACAGATGAGTCTACCAAAACTGAGTATTAGTACATGTACAGGGGCGTAGCTAGCTTTCAGTCAGGGGGTGTGTGATCGCCGATAGAATTATGGTTTTCAGTCAGGGGGGTGTGATTGTGGCATAAACAAGCCAAAAAAAATAAGATTTATCTTGAATTTTACAAAACAATTTCCCTCAAAATTGAGCTAGAAGAGCACCCATCATATGTTTTTTGTCTTAACAAAATCAGATGAGCCTACCAAAACTGAGTATGTATGTTAAACAAATTAGACAAGCCTACCAAAACTGAGTATGTTTGATGAATAAAATCAGATGATCATTATTTGACCAAATAACAGTATTGAACATGAAATACAATCTTAATGATCTAAAATTTTATGGCAGTTATCATGGGAGTTTGAATGTAAAATGAATGTCAGCTACTTATCAACTGAAAATGTAGTGTTATGATTTATTGATTTGATATGCAGTAGAACCTGTCTAATTTGAACACCTTTGGTACCTCTAAAAAGTGCTCCATTTGTAGAGGGCAATTTAACATCAAGTCAATTGGTCTTGGGACTGAAGAGTGTTCCAATCACAGGGAAGTTGAAGTTCCACTTCAAGAGGTGTTCCACTTCACAGGTTTGATTGTGTGTTAATTAATAAGAATTAAACCAAGGTAAAATGTTAGTTAAAATCGTGGTTCATGTTGGTTAAACTGATTGCTCGACTCATATTGGTTTAAATTTAAATTCTACATCGTCAAGCTTTATGAAGGGCTCAGAGTAATGGTTACACCCTTAGTTCCACATATTCAAGAGCCACTCAGAATTGAATAAAGCTCTGGATAATACTTGTTACATTGATTTAGACAAATGGATAAACCAATCATTTCACACTACATGTATAAACCAATCCTTTAATGAGTAATTGACCTGTTTTATAATGTAAATTCTATTTATTTATTAATGCAGTCAAATTATTCCAAGATTTTATTGATACACATACATGACAAGCATTTTATACCAAATGTGTATTCCTATTTAAAAGCAATATTAGTTTATCAACTACGTATATACTGTACTTCTACTTATTAATTTGGCGCTACTTATTTTAGTGGATTTAATGTTTTGAACATTTGATGGTAGAAGTACAGTAGTTATATAATTGTAAATAGTTCTAAATCTCATTAATTGTTTTAACTCTGTGATAATTTTTTTTATTGAACACTTAAATGTGGCATCGGTGTTAAGTAGATTAGATGTACCTTATTGTTTTATCATGTTATGTCCATTTTACTCTACTTTTTAAAAATATTTTATGTATGTTATTTCTTCTGTGAAATGGCCATGACATTTTATACCCTGCGTGCAGAGTCTAGTTAAACTACACTCTGCCTAGTAGAGACCATATTACAGTTTAGTAGCCCCGCCCCCACAACCGGTACCGGTGACAGTTTGGGTAATAAGTCACTTTTGACCTACGCGCTGACCTTTCTTCCATCAATCAGCGAGCTTGAAGAATCAGACGCCAAATGCGGTCTAATTAAATATGCGCATGTCATTGGTCAATTCCGGGCTCAACGATGACGTCAGAAGGAATGACCATATATAGAACGTCGGTCAAATTTGGCCGACGAACACTGATTGGCGCGGTGAGTTCACAGGTTTATTTTAGTTTGAAAGAGTGAAGACGAAGCTCTCTTTTAAGAAGTGAAGTCAAACGAATGCAAAGGGTAGACATTTTAATATTCAGAACAATTTTATTATATTTTATTCAGAACAATTTGTAATCTAAGTATATCATGGTCCTAGAATTATAATTCATTTTAAAAAGCTATCTTTCTAGTACTGTGTAACTGTAGCTGCGTGAGAATTTAGATTTGCTGCTCTCATAAAATATAAGCAGCTTTTGTATGTGCAATCTTTATTATTGATTGGTATCAGTATAGGTCGAAAATAGTAACATAACAAGCATTATTAATAAACTGATATGATATTTACATTTCAGTTCAATTTAAGGCCATAAGGCCATTCAAAGTTAATAATATATTTAAATGTCATCTCGAGAGGCTAAATCTTAGGAGGATGGAAGGTGAAAAAGAAATAAAAAAGAAAATATAATTGTTTATTCATATTGTATTCCTGTTCAGAGTTTATAATATTCAACAGTTGAAATAACAAAACACATCCATAGATAGCTGCCAATAAAATGACACACACTTTAGGTTCAGGCAAACTGTTTGTATGGCTTTATTTTTCAAAAATTCATTATTTGCTAGGGCATAGATAACTACATTGTATATTTTATTTGCAAGGGCATAGAGTAATAGTACAATAACGTCATTTCGAAGGGCAATATTATAGTGAAATATTGGCCCTCGGTCCAATATTTAAGAAATATAGACCAAAGAGCAGGGGTATATCGTCGAATACACCCCGCAGGGCTAGGCACAACTTGAACGACTGAAGGGAGTGCGGGGTTCGAAAGCTTTTGTGCCTAGCCCTAAGGGGTGTATTTGACAATATTATACCTGCTCTGAGGTCTATATTATGATTCTAACATGAAAACTCACTTAAATGTTTTGAATTTTCATTATGGTCCGCCATTACTACGGTCCGCCGTTATGATGTCACACATCACACGTATTATCAGGGGCATTTTTCGCGAATATACCCCAGGTCAAATGTCAAATTCACTATATTGCCCTTCGAAATGACGTTATTAGTATTATTACCACCGTTAATGCCCAGGGCTGAAATAGCAAGAAAATCTTAATGGAAAATTGCCTGGCGTTAATGCATTATTGGCCTGCCACTATGGCCCGCCACTATGACGTCACATATTGCTCAGGTCGATATATCAAAATAAATGCCTTCTAAACTAGCACTAATACCCCTAGAACAGGCCTGGCAAGGTGGTAATAATACTTTTACATTGTATAGTTGATTTGTAAGGGCAAACATGACTACATTGTATATTTTATTTGCTAGGAAGGGCATAAATGACTACATTGTAAATTTTATTTGCAAGGGCATAAATGACTGCATGTATTGTTGAGACTTGAGAGTATATGTTTATATTTAATATATTATAGTTTATACACAAATAAATATACAAAGAAAATATTTTCCTATATTTGTTTGTAATAAGTAAGGATAGTTATATATTTTAAGGTACGACAGTATCCTACAAAAATGAATTAGGCTAGGCCAAATTATCCAAATAATGATAAAATCGCCCAAAACCAAATCAGATGTTGCATCTGTAAAATTTCAAGCTGAATGGATTAGTTCCCCTGTCCTTTTGATGACAAGATTAATGTGCACACAGCCATCCATCCATCAGCACAATAAAATGAAAATCTCAATCCAAATGTCAATAAGATACTAGATCTGTTATATAAACTCCCAATCCACACTCTGAAATTATGGTATCATTTGAGTATCGTGCCACACAGTGTTTGCAGTATCATACAGTACTACATCTTATGGTAGCATACAGTATACTGTAGCTAGACCCACTGTAAGAATCTACAGTCATATTTTAGTATTTGGCAAACAGATGCAATGCTGTATGCATATCCATTAGATGGCCATATCTTCTTAGGGCTGGGTCAATAATTCAATGTCTGTCAAAAGGCATAATTAATTATGTAAGGGGGAGGGTGTAAAACACTTTTCAATTAGGTGACCAACAATAGTCAACAGATATGTATACAGAGAATTTTAAATGTGTTGTTTTAGCAGTAGCAGATACAGGCCTGTCAACTTGGGAACACCTCACATGAGTGACTTGGAAATGTTGAACACCTCCCCTCAAAATCTGAACACCTTGATCCAAATTTTGAACACCTTGGTTTAAATTTTATTACATCTTGCCAAATTTTGAACACCTCAAACGGAATGCGTACGTTTTTTTCCCGTCGTTCGTATTATTGCTGTCTAGACGATCTTTTCAGAAAATTTTCTACAGAAATATTTTTGCTTGACAATTACCAGGTAAAATGCTGTAAAATAACTGGCGTGACTTCAAATTCTTCAGCAAATGCGTGACAAATACGCAAATTGCGGGACAGTTGACAGGCCTGGCAGATATTGTAGTACCCCGGACAGGTTGTATGATGCAGTCGTGTTTTTACTCTATATTCCCAATAGAACAACCATTCTTATTGAAATTTTCATATTTTATTCTGGAGACAATTTCCAACATGGAAAAAAAATTTTTTAACAAAATTCTTAATTTTATGATTTTGACAGGCTATTTTCAAAAATACTCCACTGTCAATAAAATACAGGTTTTTGCTTGAACAATTGAACATTTAACGTCATTTCAAAGATTGTCCAAGGGAAAGATCAATACCCGGTGATTTCAGCGGGAAGTGGCGTTTCGTTCATTGGATGAGCTGCGCGCGCACGCATAAATGTGATTATCCAATATAATTAGGGGAGGGCTATTTGAAGTAGTTTTTGGTCTCAGGCGCGACCCAGGGCTGTTGTCTTAAGGACATTTCGTTGAAAATGAGCCATTCGGCTGATAATTGGTAAGAGTTTGCGATCTTATAATGTATAACTGTTACTCAGACACATATTTTGACACGATTCTGTTGGAAATAAGCTTTGAACCGAGAGATATTCACGATTGATATGCACATTTTTGATTGTGCCATTGCTTTTCTATTGCACAACCCATGTATTGATAGAAGAAACATTAATAATACAGATTGGTTTACCTTCAATACATGGCAGACACTACATATCGGTCTATTAATACCAGTTTGTGCCTTAAATAGTTTTATATTTCCATCCACGGCCTGGAGCCCTGGGTGTGTTTGTCTCTTATGTGTATGCTTGTGCATGGACTTCTAATCACTAGCAGAATTTAACATGATGCAAACTCGACATTATAACTCATGCTGTAACATTTTGACTTCGCTGGAAAACAATAGGAATTATTTTTCTTGCCAATCAATCATGAATCACAATCAAAATTTCAGAATGATCAATCAGGCAATGATCCAAATCAAGTTATAACATTATATGATATTCAGCAAGATGTCCGGTAGAAATACAGAATATTTAAACATCAAAGCTGAAAGTTAAAAGCTAATCTGTCAATTTTCTGTCTGCAAAAGAGCGTCCCAAGAGCGTTTACATTTGACACAATAACAGACT